CCATCATTCCCGACCTACTGGATCTGCACCATTCCCATAAGTGAATGCTGCTTTCCTCGAGGTGAACGCTACATCCTCTGGTGGTGATAATCATAAACGAGGACGTGACCACAAACGAGGTCGATGGAATAGGAAAGGCAAGAACCATGGAGTTCAGTTTCACAACCAGGTTCCGAGGCATAATTCAGGTCGGAGCTTCAAAAATGCGAATCTCCACAAAGGCAAAGCTCATATGAACAATGCTCCTAGAAACTCTGAAGGAGCCTGCCATAGGTGTGGTGGCAATGGGCATTGGGCACGTACTTGTCATACCCCAAAACATTTAGTGGATCTGTATCAAGCATCCCTCAAGGAGAAAGGTGTCGAGACCAATTTTCTCGACCAGGCTAGACCAATGGATATACCTGATCCGGTGTTTGACTTATCAGGGCAGTTGAACACAACTCATCTAGATGTTCCAGACTTTATTGTGGAAATGGGAAATGAAGTATACCGGTCCGATTAAAACATTGATGTACTTTTATTATGCTGAACTTGTAGTATTTCAGATTCAATAAAAGTGACATGTAAATTTTCTTGTTATAACTTGCTTTTAACTCTGATTCTCTTACTCAGAGAGCATGGATAAAAACTGTGGTTATTCTCAGAACATGAGAAATGGCGGAGATATTTGTCTTGCAGATAGTGCAACCACATATACAATACTTCTTGATCGAAAGTATTTCTCAAGCTTAATACCTACAAAAGTAGGGGTAACAACAATATCAGGACCTTCAGATGTAATTCAAGGTTCAGGGCAAGCCCAGATTATGTTACCAAATGGAACAATATTGTCCATACAGAATGCATTGTATGCCACTCAAACTACTCGAAATTTATTGAGTTTCAAAGACATACGTTTAAATGGATACCACATTGAAACAAAAAGTACAGAAAATGTGGAGTATATATGCCTTACCTTCAATGATACCCAGAAGTGTATATTGGAGAAGTTGCGTGGTATGTCGAGTGGATTGTATTATACATACATAAGGACAATTGAATCACATACTGTCATGAACCAGAAGTTCATTGATTCAAAAGTTTACATGCTTTGGCATGACCGTCTGGGTCATCCAGGATCTACCATGATGCGTAGGATCATTACCAACTCTAATGGACATCCATTAGTGAGCAGACACATTGCTGCCTTAAATTATAACCCTTGCAAAGCTTGTTCTCAAGGGAAGTTGGTAATTAGACCATCACAACTAAAGGTTGATGCTGAATCCCCATCATTTCTGCAAAGAATTCAAGGGGATATTTGTGGGCCTATTCAACCATCATATGGACCATTTCGATATTTTTATGGTTTTGGTTGATGCATCTACCCGATGGTCATATGTTTGTCTCTTGTCTACTTGGAATGTAGCCTTTGCGAGACTTCTTGCTCAGATAATTAAGTTACGAGCACAGTTCCCAGATTATCCCATTAAGTCAATCCGACTTGATAATACTGGTGAATTTACATCTCAAACCTTTGATGATTATTGCATAACATTGGGCATTGATGTTGAACACTCTGTTCCTCATGTCTATACTCAAAATGGTTTAGCAGAAGCATTGATCAAGCGACTCCAGTTAATAGTTCGCACTCTACTTATGAAAACCAAATTACCAGTCTCTGTATGGGGACATACCATCTTACATGCTGCATCATTGGTTTGATTGAGACCTATAACTAACCAGCAATACTCTTCAGTACAACTCGTGTTTGGACATCAGCCAAACATTTCCCATTTACGAGTTTTTGGTTGTGCTGTTTATGTGCCTATTGCACCGCTGCAACGCACTAAAATGAGACCTCAGCGTAGATTGAGAATTTATGTGGGTTTTGATTCACCATCTATCATTAGATATTTGGAACCCTTGACAGGTGATATGTTTACAGCTCGTTTTGCTGATTGTCACTTTGATGAGACAATTTTCCCGTTGTTAGGGGGAGATAAGACCGTTCCAGAAGAATGGAAAGAGCTGACATGGGTTGTTCCCACCTTGTCTCATTTTGATCCTCGCAGCATTCAATGTGAAAATGAAGTGAGAATGATCGTTCATCTTCAAAGCATTGCCAATCAAATGCCGGATGCATTTAATGATGCTATGAAAGTGACAAAATCATATATACCAGCTGCAAATGCACCTGCAAGAATTGATGTCCCTGTTGGATAAAATAAAGAGGCAGCGAATGATTCACCTGGTGCACGCCTGAAGCGTGGTAGATTCCAAGGTTCAAAAGATTCAGCCATTCGAAAGAGAAAGTCGAGGGCACAACTGAATCCAAATGAAATCATTCAAGAAGAGAAAATGAATGACACATCCACAATTCATGATTCTGGACTTCCAGAAAAAAAAAATGTCCTTGATGAGACATATGTCCCTGAAGAGACAGAAGTACATGAAAGCAAAGAAATCTCTATAAATTGTGGGATCGGAATGAAATAATCATCGATGATATGTTTGCATTCGCAGTAGCCACTGAAATCATCTTAAGTGATGATATTGAGCTCCGCTCTGTTGATGAATGCAAACAGAGACACGATTGACCTAAGTGGAAAGATGCAATCCAGGCAGAATTAAATTCCTTGGAAAGGCGGAATGTTTTTGGACTAGTAGTCCAAACCCCGCCTAGTGTAAACCCTCTGGGTTACAAATGGGTATTCACAAGGAAACGCAATGAGAAAAACGAGATCGCAAGATATAAAGCATGACTCGTTGCACAAGGTTTTTTTCAAAGACCTGGAATTGATTATGAGGAGACATACTCTCCTGTAATAGACGCAATTACGTTCCATTACTTAATAAGTTTAGTGGTTTCAGAAAGACTTGACATGCGACTTATGGATGTCATCACTGCGTATCTATATGGAGAATTAGATACTGACATCTATATGAAAGTCCCAGAAGGACTTAAGTTGCCTGAAACAAGTAACAAACCACGAGGTATGCTCTCGATCAAATTAAGGCGATCATTGTATGGTCTGAAACAATCTGGACGAATGTGGTATAATCGTCTCAGTGAGTATTTGATCAAAGAAGGGTATATCAACAATGTTATTTGCCCTTGTGTGTTCATTAAGAAATCCAATTATGGATTCGCTATAATGGCAGTATATGTTGATGAGATGAATCTAGTTGGAACTCCTGAAGAGCTCAATAAAACTGCTGAATATCTGAAAAGCGAATTTGAAATGAAAGACCTTGGAAAAAAAAAATATTGTCTCGGCCTGCAGATCAAGCATTGTATTAGTGGAATTTTGGTCCACCAATCAGCTTACATTGAAAAAATTCTGAAGCGATTTGGTATGGACAAGGCTTATCCACTAGGCACGCCAATGGTCATTCGTTCTTTGGACATTAAGAAAGATCTATTTCGTCCAAAAGAAGATGATGAACTGGTCCTTGGTCCAGAAGTACCATATCTGAGTGCAGTAGGTGTTTTGTTGTATTTAGCACAATGTACTAAACCAGATATAGCTTTTTCAGTTAACTTGTTAGCAAGGTATAGCTATACTCCAACAATTCGCCATTGGAAGGGTATCAAAGATGTATTGCGATACCTTCGTGGGACAACAGACATGGGTCTCTTCTACTCAAAGAACTCCACAGATGACCAGGCCCTTGTTGGATATGCAGATGCTAGCTTCCTCTCTGATCCGCATAAAGCCCGCTCACAAACTGGATATGTGTTTAAGAATAGAGATACAGCAATCTCATGGCGCTCAACCAAGCAAACATTAGTTGCTACATCTTCAAATCATTCAGAAATACTTGCTTTACATGAAGCAAGTCATGAATGTTCTTGGTTAAGATCAATGATCCATCATATTCGGAATTCATGCGGTCTAGCTTCGAAGATAGACAACCCAACTGTCATCCATGAAGATAATGCAGTCTGTGTTGCCCAAATGAAGGAAGGATTCATCAAGGGCGATAAGACTAAACACATATCTCCAAAGTTTTTCAGTGCTCATGAGCTTCAAAAGGCTAAAGTTATTGAAGTCAGACAAATCCGTTCAAATGAAAATCTGGCAGACTTGTTCACCAAATCTTTACCAAAGTGCACATTTCAGAAGTTAGTGCAAGGCATCGGATTACGTCGACTTACCAAACAGCTAAATTTGGAGAATGCGGAATCAGGGGAAGATACATATCAGGAAGAGTATCCATGATACATGCTTGTTGTACTCTTTTTCCTTCGATTAGGATTTTTCTCACTGGGTTTTTCCTATCAAGGTTTTAACGAGGCAACATAAGCATACTTGACACTATATCAACGATCCAGGAAAAGTTGTACTCTTTTTCCTTCGCTATGGTTTTTTCCCGCTGGGTTTTTCCAAGCAAGGTTTTAACGAGGCAACTCATGTTGATATGTGGGCATCCAAGGGGGAGTGTTGAAAAGTCTGATGGCAATGAATGCCCACAGTATGTTAGCAAAAGTCTTCAGCATGGGCAGAAGTTTTCAATGCCCATGCAAAGTAAAAGTTGAATACATAGAGATTGTATAGTCAGACGAAGTGTTGCAAATTTCAAAATGCATTAACTGCATCAGTTTGGAGTTGCTCTATAAATAGAGCACTCCGCATGTTTTTAAGGAACAGAAAATATAAGAAGAAGAGAACGTGAGAAAAATATCAGTAACATCATCTATTCCTCTGCCTTTTATTTGTTATCTTCTTCCTTTTATTTGTTATCCTCTTGTGCTATAGTTTTAGTGTGGCATTTTGCATCTACCTTGCACCTACAATTAAAAAGATTATTCCTCTAACTTTGACTTATTTATAACAATCTGCTAATACTGTCATTCTACTTAAAAAATTGCAATTATCGTTTCTCATTAGAATGCTACAAATCCTAAGTGGTCTTTGACAAATAAAAATCAGTTTGAAAGGAAGAAAAAACAGTCCGGGCCCAACTTGCAAGTAAAGTCCCCTAATATTAACACAAAAAATAATAAGTAAATGTAACTCCAATTTCGTAGCCCAAAGGCACCGAACAACATTGCGTCCCAGCTCCAAAGCAATCAAAATCCCAGAGATCGAACCTCCAAAACCCACCAGATCAACAAGCAATGGAGTCCATCTTCGGCTTGGTAGGCGATGGCTTTGCGGTCGTGGCGGCGGACACTTCAGCCGTGCATAGCATACTGGTGCACAAGTCCAACGAGGACAAGATCATGGTGCTCGACTCCCACAAGCTCGTCGCCGCCAGCGGCGAGCCAGGCGACCGGTTCAAAATCTTTTCTTTCTAGTTTTCGGTTTGATTGTCGATCACTGTGGTATGGAATCTGATTGAATTTTTTTTTGGAATATTTTGGGGAAATTAGGGTTCAGTTTACGGAGTACATACAGAAGAACGTGGCTTTGTACCAGTTCCGGAATGGGATTCCGTTGACCACCGCTGCTGCCGCCAATTTCACCCGCGGCGAGCTTGCCACCGCCTTGCGAAAGGTATGGGCTTTTTCTTGATACGTTAGATATAATTTGTGGTTTCATTGTTTGGTTGATTGGATTTTTGCCCAGCATTAGGGATCTGGTGTTAAGGTTAATAGTCTTATTATTGTGAGGGGTTTTCTTCTCCTGCAAGTTTAGGGTTTTTGTTGAGGTATGGTGATTGGGGTTTAGTTAGAATGAAGCATGTCGAAATTAACTACATGAAGTGGGCTTCAAGCGGAAAAAAGATTAACAATGTGAGTCGGGTAAATACTTTATGTTGTGCACGTTGTTTTGGTTTGAACAAATGCAGTTGTAATGTTCTTTTGAGTAAGACTGTTTGGTTCTTGACCTTATACATTGACTAAATCTCTCAACGGTATGCTTTAATTGACAGCCCCATATGAGTTAATTTAGCGATTTAAAGTTGTATTGCAAAGTTAAGTGATCAGAGACTGAAAGATTGAATTCGTGTATCAAATAATCTGATAGGGATGTATGCAGGTTCTGTAGATGCTAGTTATACTTCGTTTACAATCTGGGTTGACAAGAGTGATGACTCTAATTAGGAATACTAAGGAAATCTAATTTTGATCTAAATTTTGTTTTAGACGTGTATAACTTGCATATAATGTTTCTACGAAATCCAAACTTCCAGAATGTATCTAAAAAACCAAATTTGAAAGTTAGTTAACTAGTCAAACATTTTAATAGAAATGAGGCCCCTTGGTAAGTTTCCTAGACGCTTGAGCTTCAAAGTGTTTGTCTGAAAGTTTGCAAGCTAACTTATCAAACTCTTTTTATTTCAGTTTTCATTTTTATTGAAGTCTTTGTCTTATATGTTTATGCCACCATATTATAACATAATTTCTAACGTAGCATGTGTTTAACATTGGATGCACAATTTTCAGCCCCATTTGTGCCTTTTGAGGCATTTTTGGGCTTCCTTCTTGTGTGGTCTGATTAGGTATTTCCAGATTTTTGTTCTATCTTCAAAACCAAAAACCATTCACTCAAATATTCTGATAGCCTAAGTTTACTCTTCCCCAATTTTTGTTGATAGCCGCCTTTAGCTTAATCGCCACGGCACCTAAAATTATGGAGTAGTTGCTGCTCTAAATTCCAGAATCAATGATAAAATTCTAGTGACTTCTTGTCTTCAAGTCCAACCCTAGTAGTCTTCAGAGTATCCTACCAATCCTTCTTCCCATTTGTATTTGTACATTAAACCTCGTTTTGAATTACTGCTTAAACGTATGAATTCAAACAATATGGCATCTTCAAACAATATGGCATCTACATTCTAGAACACAATCTCATGGATGTTTGTACCTTTTCGTCAAATGCTTGGAATGTTGAGGGCAAATGTGGCAAGTCTCAAGTAATTATGTATGCTTCTCATTTTTGAGGCTGTTCCTAGGCGAAAGAATTATTGAGGAAAAAGTGAATATGCTTAAATGGTATTCCTAAAATTTTATGTAGTCAACTTGTATTCCTCATGCTGGCTGCACCAGTGTTATAGGCACTACCAGTTCACTTCTCATGGGTATGGTTCAAAGTAATATGGCTCTAACCTGAAATAAGGGGGGTTGTGGTTAAAATCTCAAAGGGGATTATATTGTTCTATGATTTTCCTTTTTGAGTTGCAAAATTTTTCTTTATCCGCTTTAAATTTTCATGTGAGAAAAACAAAAAACCATGTACAGTTGAGTTTAGAGGGATGCTTTTAACTTCAGAGAGAGTTCAGTTGTTACGAATGATGGCTGGTTTTTAAAAATTTGATTTTGCAGAATCCGTACATGGTGAACATCTTGATGGCTGGTTTTGACAAGGAGGCGGGGGCATCCCTTTACTACATCGATTACATTGCCTCTCTTCACAAGGTTGAGAAGGGAGCCTTCGGATATGGGTCGTACTTTGCGCTCTCACTGATGGACAGGCACTACCACAGTGGCATGTCCGTGGAGGAAGCAATTGACTTGGTTGACAAGTGCATCATCGAGATCCGGTCAAGACTAGTGGTGGCTCCCCCAAACTTTGTGATCAAGATTGTCGACAAGGACGGGGCGAGGGTGTATGCATGGCGGGAGTCCATCAGGGATATCAACGTTGCTGCTGCATGATCGATCCTTTCAAAGTATCACAAGACTCGTGTTTTTGTTACTTTTAAACGCTTGTTGGCTACATTTGACTATGCTCTAGTAAGTGAATTTGAAGGCCTTCCAGAACCCACCTAAAATACTCACAGTAGCTCCCTTCTTGTTTGCACTTATGATACGAAAGCTGCTGGAATACTTGTATTTTGGAGGAAGCAAATGACTCGTTATTTGTTATCCAAGAAATCTGTTAACAACCATACTTGCATTTACCCTCATGTCAAAGGAACCAACATTTACCGTTTGGAAGATTAATTCCAAACCCTAAAACTATATTTTCATATATCTTTCATGAAGATAAATCGCAAACCCTCAAATTAGATTGAGACTCGCATGAAATAGGAATTCTAAGATGGCGGCACTCTAAAGTGAATAGCGATTGTTGTGTTTTAAGTTTTTTATATGGTTATGTGTGGTTTGTGACACGGTCACTTTTAACATTTCCGTTTTATATTTTATGCAAGCAAAACTTGTACGAAAGCATCATATAAAATTGACCAAAAAAAAAAAAAATGATATTGTATTTAAGAGGCAATGAGTTGCTCATTGCTTTTATAGCAAGGAAGATATCGAATCCCGCGGGCCTCTGAGTCCACCCACAAAACTTGCATGAAAGTAGAACTAGATATTTATATCACCATCCGTTTTGATTTGTACGACTTGACCTGGAAACAATGACTTTTGGCAGGACAGGACGGGAAGCCGCTATTGGGCAGCAGTGGAATCCAATGACCATAGGCATAGGGGACTTTTTTGTTTACTCGGGATTATATTTACTCCAAATATTTTAAATGTTAAATTTTTGTTTAAAATATAAAAATTAAAATAACTGTTAAAACATTCAAAATATAATACTTAATAGTCCATAGGGGAATGGGTCACAAAGTAACCACTTTAGTGATAATGGGGAAGCTTAAGAAGATTAATCCCAAAATGAAAATGCCACTTAAGTTATCACGAATCATTAGTGCAGGTTAATTTGTTTTGTTCTTTGTCACCAAAAACTACTTTCTTTGTCTTTTTATCCACACTCGATGTAATTGATACATTGAACATATTATGCTTCAACGTATCCAATATATCAAAATTTCAGCTATTAAATTTGGTCAATAAATTCTCGATCAATAATCTAATAGAAAAAAATTTAGTATATAGAAATCTTCAAACGATTATGTGAAGGACTTAAATGAAACACGTTTACTATCACACAACGTTATAATCAAATAATGCCATGTAAAAGTATTTATCCAGACGGCAGTGCATTATTGGACGAGAAAGGGGAATCATCATACTAAAATCAGTAGACAATGTGGGTCATAAGTAATCATTATAGTAAACTTAACTAGGAAGTTTAAGAGGATTAGTACTTGGTTTTTTCCGTGACCATTCACTCTCTCACTCTTCCGTGCACACTTGTTTCCAGGTTCCGACCTTTTTTTTCTCTTTTCTCGGTTCAAAATTGGATGGAACTGCATTGAACCCTTTTCCAGATTCTTCGTTTCTCTCTAAAAAATCTAATATTTTGGGTTGTTTTCGTTTGATCGGCGGTGGGTTCTGGGCAATCATCTCTCTTGTTGGCCGCCTCCTCATATCTCTTCACAGGTTCGTCTCTTAACCAAATTCCTTTTTTTTTTTTTTTTAAATCTTATTTTTAACGATTTCTGCCCGATTCTGCTTAATTTATGTCGAATTTTGGACTTTAATTCGCGTATGGGTTTTGGATATTGATGTCTGATTTTATTGATTTTGTTGGTAATTTGTATTCTGTGTTTTCTCTGATTGTGGTTGTGCTGGTTTTTGTTGGTGGAGCTTGTATGCCATTGTTCGTTGTCCCCTTTTTCCCCACTTCTTTGCTTCAATGTAGGTTTACTAACGGACGTTTGAGAACCATTTCGTTTTCAGTTTCTGTTTACACCTTTTTACCAAACAAGTTTTCAACGAAAACCAAAATCCGAATGCTACTCATGTGAATTTTCAAAATTTGGTTTTCGGTTTCCAATAAACTAAAAACAATTACTTTGTAGCGAATTGGAGTTGTGGTAGTTCTCATTTATCTACCTGTAATGTAGTTTCCTATTTGAAACTTACAGACTGTTGTTCTTGTCAGTCTGTGTTTGGTGATGGATTCAGTTGGTGATAAGTGGGATGATGAAGAACGCTCTGTAATCGGAGACAAGGGAGAAGTCCGATACATAGATTTCGATCATGATAAATCGGTGCGTAATTACAATCCTAATGAAGAGGGTCCAATTATTGTTTCAGTTCCTTTCCCTTTTGTGGATGGAAAGCAAGGTGGAAAGCCTCAATCAGTAGTTGTAGGAGAAACAGCTGTGGATAAGATAACTCTTAAGAACACCACCACTGATCCCATGCAGTGGGGTGTTACAATTTATGCATCGAATCCAGAGGACTCATTCAAGCTTTCTCTGATGGAACCTCCAACAGACAACTCTGATTTGGAAACCATCCAAGCCTTCCTTGAGTGTACTTCCCTGGAGGACAGAGCGCTGCATCCTGGAGATACTCTGACTGTATGGCTATCATGCAAACCCAAGGAAATTGGAGTGCACACCTCAATTGTGCATTTTGATCTTGAGGCGGACGTGATTGAACGTGTTGTCTTTCTATTGGCAGAAGATAAGATATCCCAGTCTTTAGCCTCTACAAAGCCATACACAAGAGGCATTAAAAAGAAACCTCTTAATGTGGAATCTCATATTGGGTCTGTACGTCCAAGTAGAAAAACATATCGAATGTACAAAAATAGGCTTCCTCGATATGACATTCCAAAGGACATCAGAAGCTTGATTGAGAGTGGGCAGATTCCCTCTGTTGTGACTGAAGGTCTTACAAGAGGGAACTATCAACATTTCTTCAAAAATTTACTCATCATGGAGGAAATAGCACTAGAGGTAAGCTCTTCATTTTGAAACAACACTTTATGAAGTTGTTTGTGATTTGTGCTTAATTTTGTGATTCCTTCAGGACAGCATGAGAAGTTATGATATGGAAGGCGTTCCTTTGAGGAAGAGGGGACAGCAGTATTTGTCCCTTGAAGTGCCAGGGCTTGCTGAGAGAAGGCCTTCACTTGTTCAAGGAGATTATGTTTTTGCCAAGCTTGAGTATGAAGATGAGAGAAGCCTTCCATATAAGGTTGTTTCCTAAACCAAAAACTTATCTTCAAGACCAAACCTCCAATCCGTTACTAAATTCAATGATTGTTAATATTTAGTATGATGAATTGAGTGGCTATTCGAATTATTTATGTAATCATCTATCTATTTGTAAATGCTTAGTTCTACCAAGGTACATTTAATAATTGTTTCATGTTCTTAAAGTTGTCATCTAGAGTGATTTTTGGCCAAACCAAATAATTGAAATGTTTAGCGTCTGGCAGAAGTTGGTCATTCATGACTATGTCCTAAACCAATTGGTGGGTTCATCCATGAAGAAAGAGAATTTCATCCATGCGTATGCCTTGTGTTTCATAAGCTGTTGACTAATTCATGTGTTAGGGATTTTTTTAGTCGTTGCTAAAATGTTTCCGTGTTATTTTAATATCCAGAATATGTAGCTTATCTTTCAAAATATTTAATGTGTTCTGTTCAGGGTCATATCTACCGTGTCGAGGCCGATGATGTTTACTTGAAGTTTGCCCCAGAATTTCATTCACATCATAGAGACGGTAACCTTTATAAGGTACAATTCACATATAATCGAATCGGCATGAGAAGGTTATATCAAGCTGTTGATGCTACAGAAGATTTAGATGTAGGGTTCCTTTTTCCATCTGAGTCCACTCAAAGAAGGATGATTAGAGCCATGCGAATGGTGCCTATATCGTGTACCCTTAATGAGGAGCAGAGGCGCTCGGTTGAGATGATCCTTGGCTGCAAAGGAGGGCCACCTTATGTAATTTACGGCCCTCCTGGAACAGGTAAGACTATGACATTAGTTGAAACAATCCTGCAACTCTACACAACCCGGAAGAGAGATCGAATCCTTGTTTGTGCTCCTTCAAATAGCGCAGCAGACCACATTCTGGAGAAACTGCTCAATGCAAATGCTGATGTTGTAGTTCAAGAGTTTGATATATTGAGGCTCAATGCATCTACCCGCCCTTATGAAGATGTCAATCCCGACCTTATTGACTACTGCTTCTATGATGATGATGCCTTCACCTGTCCTGAACTCCATGCCCTGTTGAGCTATCGGATCATTATATGCACCTATACGAGTGCCTCCTTGATTTATGCAGAAGGTGTCCGTCGAGGCCACTTCTCTCATATTATCTTGGATGAGGCAGGCCAAGCTTCAGAACCAGAGACCATGATCCCGATATCGAGTCTCTATAAACAGAATACAGTAGTTGTTCTTGCTGGTGACCCGATGCAATTAGGTCCAATCATAAACTCCAGAGAAGCAGAAACCTTTGGTTTGGGGAAATCATACTTAGAGAGGATTTACGAATGTGATTTTTATAGAAATGGGGACAGAAATTATGTTACAAAGTTGATTAAAAACTATCGATCTCACCCGGAAATTTTGCATCTCCCTAATGAGCTGTTCTATGGACGAGAGTTGATTGCTTGCAAGGATGACCCAGTTTCCTTCATGGCAAGGGTGGACCTTCTTCCTAACAAGGATTTCCCTGTTCTTTTCTTTGGCATCCAAGGCTGTGATGAGAGGGAAGGGTGTAATCCATCATGGTTTAATCGGACTGAGGCAAGTAAGGTAGTAGAGATCACTAAACGGTTGACTGCACGAAAGAATTTGAGCGAGGAAGATATTGGGATCATAACACCTTATCGGCAGCAAGTGCTAAAACTGAAGAAAGCTTTCGAGAATGAGAACATGCCTAATATCAAGATTGGAAGTGTTGAGCAATTCCAGGGACAAGAGAGGCAAGTTATCATAATATCAACTGTCCGATCAACAATCAAACACAATGAGTTTGACAAAACGTACTGCTTGGGATTTTTGAGCAACCCAAAAAGGTTTAATGTGGCTATTACTCGTGCTAAAGCTTTGCTAATTGTAATTGGTAACCCGCACATCATCACCAAGGTATGTTCCTTTGTCTTACAGCAGGTTACAGGACATTATCTTTCGACTACTGGTGTCTACTGGTGTGTGTGCGCGTGCGTGCAATCCTAGGATTATTTTCTTATGATTTCAGTTGATTGGTTTTGGCAGGACCGGAACTGGAACAAGCTGCTTTGGCGTTGTGCTGACAACTCATCCTATCAGGGTTGTAGTCCCCCTGAGAGACAGGAAGATGATGAAGACACATCTTTCTCTATAGATGATGGGCAGCCGGAAGAATTCTTGCAAACAGAAGTCCCCCAGCCTGCTGGGGTTGGTGAAGCTGAATGGTCTGATTGGAACATATAAATTGGAACAGAAGTTTATTTTCTTCATATACTATGAATCCATGGATGCTAGCCAGAACTATAATTTACTTTACTTTTTATTTTATTTTACGTGCCATGAATCTACGGCACTATTCCAGCATGATTTGACATGCCAATTTCATGTAGGACTACATTCAGCTCGTTGTGTTTGTGTGAAAGACGAAAGTTGATTTTATAAGTTATGCAGATGAAACATATTTGTGGGTGAATTTCATTATACTTCATTGCTCAACTATCACAGGTTGTCATCTCAAAATTAGGCAGAAATTTATATGTGAATGTATAATTTTTCATGAATGCCAATGTGACAGGGTAACTACACAAGCTTTCCTGATGAAGTCAGTACGAGAAATGCCGAAAGGGCGGTGGAATTTTCATCTACAATCTCAATGAATATAGGAAGCATCAGCTGGACATGGAAACAACTCAGTAGTGCAGGTAGAAACCAAGTGTTGCTTGTGTGAATTTGCTTCACTGCTGCTGAAACCCTAGCCGGATATACCGCTGAGCTTGGTGGAGTCGGAGATCTGTTTCCCGGTGGAATGCTTGTAGTGTTTGCTGATTCTGGTGCTAAGCTCATGAGAGGAGATGAAGCATTGCCAACAGACTCAAAACCTGCAAGATAATAATAAAAATGGGATTTTTAGGGTTTTTACAAAATCGAAGTTTTCTGCATGGCATTTTAGAAGTGAGATTAGAAAAGTGACAAATGGGGTTTTTAGGGTTTTTCTTAATTAGCCAAGATTAGCATGTAGCATCCCTCTTGAATCTCAATGCACTTCAAAGACAATTAACAATAATTATTAAATAATAAATGCATTTTTGAAAGTAAAAATCCAAGAAAATCGTGGAGTAATTGGGACTAATTACCAGAAGGAGGAGAAATCTCTGAAATTGTTGAGCTGAGGAGAGGAGGGAGTTCTGGCGATCCTGTTGCAGTTACACAATACAATCAGAATTTTCAGAACCAAAGTTTCTTGAAAATTCGCATTCATGGCGTCAAGAAGTTAAAAGATTGGTAATTTATGAATCGATATATAAAACCATAAATTGGGCTCAAGAACCTGAGCAGAGCGATTCCAAAGACTCTGCACTGCTTGTGTTTGTGGAAATGTCTCCGAGAGGGCAAGTGGAAGACAGAAACAGAACGCGACTCCCGTTCACGGGAAACCCGAGCATAGGAGGATCCTGGACCAGGTAGCAGAGGCACAGAGCGCCACCGGACTCCAGCGACAGCGAGAAAGCGTCGCAGCACTTGGGTGGGCGCGAGTCGGAGAGGTTGTTCGGCGGAGACGACACGTACGGCAGGCACGGCGAGAATCTCACGAGCTCGTCACCACAACTGGGTAGCGGCGAAGGCGGTTCTGCTGCTTCGGTGCTGATAATGGCGAGCGTCAAGGCGAGGAGGATGGCCATGAGGGGCGGAGGAGCGGTGGCAGTGGTTATCATGCTCGAGAGTTTGAGAGAGAAATGGCGGGAAACAGAAGAGTTTTGATAATTCCAGAAGTGCCCTTTTCAGGTCTGCAGTTAATAACGAAGAGTGTAATTTTAACTGCCCAAGCTTAACCTTATGGAAGCGGTTAGAATTTGCTTCTAACAAATTTTGTAGCCAAACTACTCCAATCTACTGGAAGGAATCGACTTTGGGTGCATAACGCGGAAACATTGCCTAGGCCAACCGACTTACATTTAGTAACGCGATCCTTTTAGCATTGCTCAACAAGAAAATGATAGAAGCCTCAACATAATCGTTATTCGAAAAAATTACATTATTGGTCAATTTACTGTGGCACAAGAAATAGAGAATTCATTAAAGCTAATACAATGCTTTACAAGCTTGAAGAGCAAATGGCAGTAGCAGCATTGGTAGTGGATTAACCTTGGTCTTGTCCTCTCTGTTTGATTTCCTCTTGGGAGTATCGTCGTTGGTTTTGGTTACTTGAGGGCCTGTGACTGATGTGCTTCTATTGTAGCGTCGTCAGTGCTTCAACCGGGGCCAACAGGACGGTTCCTGGATCAGTTGTAGTAGAAGATAGACATGGCACAGTTATACCTGGACAGTGAGTTAAAGGAGGTGCAGATATGTTAGACTTTGATAATGGCAATGACAGCGAGATGCCGGAAGAAGGTAGGGGTGGGAAGGATTCTCCTATCAGAGCACAAGCATTCATACCCAGCTTGGAGAATTTGATTAAGGGCAGTGAAACAAGTTTCAGAATCATCCACGGAAATAATCCCAACATTACTGGGTTTCCAGCAATGCTCAAGAAGTATTACTTATGTCTTTTTCCTGCATGTTTATTAACTTCAACTGACACTTTGATTTTATGCCTTATTTTCCTTCAATTTATTTCATTTCATTTTAGAAATATTGCTCTATTGATACATTTGTTAGTTTACAGCATTCCAGCATTTTGATAACGAAACTATTTACTGAAATTTAACTGTCTTAATTCCCAGGCGACCGCACCAAAATGCAAGTTAAAGTTGAAAAGCCATTTTATTAATTGGTTTGTATTACAATTTGAAACATTATCGATTATGTCTGCTATCTTTTTTGTCAAGCAAATGCTCTGTCATCTTTGTATAGGAACAAATTCATATTGTGACAGGCAGAACAAAATGAGTTGAAACGTATCACTCCTTTCGTCTTTTTATCGTAAAAAAAAATCATGCAATTCGCCCTGCATGGTGGGTTGATAAAATACAACCCTTTCACATGGATTGTGAGGAGTATTATTCATGAATTCTCAACTGCAGAGGAGGTTTTTAATTTGTGACTTGAGCCACAAGTTAAGCACAAACATTGTGTGAAATGAGATGATGAGTCTGTTTTTCCTCAGCTTTTATATAAAAGTTTGCAAATTCTCAAATTTGAAGATAACCACGTCATATGGTTACAAATTCGAATTTTGAATCCAAATATCTACTCAAAGTCAACAGATAGAAACCAAAATCATTTTTCATTGCAGACAAATGATAACCTTATGAGTCATTTCATCAAACACTTCACTCCTCCGTCCACACAAAACTTCAAGAATGTCATAATCAATTACATCTCTGCGCAAAATTGAGTGTTTGACCCCAACATTCTTGCATCTAGGGTGGAGTGAGTAGTGAAGTGATCGATGCAACGTCTCACGAAGAAAGAAAATTGTGTCAGCCATTCGTAGGAGTCTTGAAGTAATTTACTGAAACTGAATTTGTGAAAGGTCCCAAATTAAAATGAAACAAATATTTATTTTCACTGATTCTATCAATAACCACCTAAATATGGTTTACAATGATCTGAAGTAATGAAATACAATAATCACACTCAATTATAAATAATATTTCTCAAACAATGTACGAAAAATGTGTAGAGGCAAACATATACAATCAGCCTAGAAAAACTTCATAGCTAGAGTGCCGGATGCCAATAGCAGAAGGGAAGGCGAGTAAGAGAGTGTGGCAGCCGAAGGAGTCAGAACCGGGCGGCTCCCAGGAATTGCGTTTGGAGCTGCAGAACCCCCTGTTGTAGATGGCGGAGTTAAATCCGGTGTGTTGTCGGATTCTGGTGACTCAGCAGAGGAGGTGGGTGCTGGGACAGAGGAAGCTGTTCAACAGAAAACATGTTATGAGGCAATCAATATCAAGAACCATCGCCATTTCGAGCGCTTTTAGCATTAAACAGCTTCGATGAAAATGTACTAATTTAAGAAGTTACCTGTTGGAGCAGATGGTGAAGCTCCAGGAGAAAGAGCTGGCGACAGGGAGCTAGGACCTGCCAAATTCAATTAGACAGCATTAGTTCACCAACTAACAACCATACAGTATAAGAAAATGTTTACTCGTCAGGCAGTCCGACATGTTATGATATTAGATTGTCAATATCAATTATTATCGTAATATAACATATTCGACTGTCTGACAAGGGAACATTAACCTAAAATTACAGTACTTCAGGTAAAATGGTACCTGGAGCAGGAATAGGTGCACCAGCGGCTGCACGTTGATCATGTGTTCATGTTAGTAATCATATCATAAAGTACACATAATTAATCATGTTTATAATACTGAAAAACCATGTCAAAATTACTAAAGTTTTAAATTAACCTGGGCATTGGAGAGGGACGCCAGGGAGGTTGCAGGCACGAGGAAGAGAGATGGCTAGAGTCCGGTTGATTGGCAACTGGAAGGGAACGCCTCCAGTCGCAAGGAGGCAAAAACAGTCCCTGCTAGTACTTGTGATGGATTTTAGCGAATTGCAGCAGTCTGCGGTTGGTGCTGTACCATTGGCGCTGCTGTTAGTGAGAAAACTCATGCAAGAGGAAAAGCTAGCAATCGTGTTGGCAGTACAAGGGGAACGAACTTGCGCGGAGACTGCCAGAGCCAGGACAAGAGTCACTGCCATTGCCATAACTAGGCGGGGAAACGACACGAAAATCTCCATAGTATCTGAATCTTTTGGTGGAACTTGGAAGGAAATCTGTGGTTATGTAGGAGTTGGAAATGCGTACAAACTTATGATGAATTCTGAGTTGTTTGAGTTGCGTTTGGAAGTGAGAAGGGTGAGAGAATTTATACATGAAGGGAAGTGGAGGGAACAAGAAAAGGTGAATTTTCTGAGTTGGTTTTTGGAGCTCAACTACCTTAACGAACCTATGTGGAAAAAAATAGGGTGTTTTGTCACTTTTGTTAGCGGTGGGATTAGCATGGCGTAACAGATTTATGCACCATCTTTTGATTTGCATTTTCGCTGAGACTTTGGTGAGTAAGAAACGTCCAACCCTGGTTTTTATTATGTGGCTTCATATGGTTGGTTCATATCATTTGTTTAGAATCATACTAATAGGAACATAAAGAATGAAAATGTGACCAAAATGAAGTAACACCAAGTGAAAAAGGTGTGAGAGATTCTTCCGTGTATCCGATGGTTTGTTAATGTGTTTTACATGTCATATGATTTCGTCATTATTTTCTTCTAATTCAATCATATGATGTGTGAGATAAACAGATGTTAGTAAATCAATTACATTTAAGATTTTGCCTCAATTTTGATCCTTGTTATTTGACTTCTCTAATACAAGGACTCCTAAAATTGAGAACCAAAACATAACGATAATGCTTCTTGTACACAATTAGGAATTAGCAAAAGAATTATGTACAAGGAGCATTATCGTTGAGTTTCCAAAAGCTTAACGATAATGTTCGAGTTGTCAGATTTTTCACTTTTCATGAAAAGAGAATAATTCTTTAGTTCTAAAAAGAAAAGGAAAAAAAAATTGTTTCAATAATCATTTTCCTTTTTGTTATAGACTTAGAGAAGAATTTACATAAAATGATTTCACTATTACGTAACATTTCTGTCTAATAAGTTCATAACCTATTGTCATGTCTAAATTTCTCTCAACATGACAATGCATGACATCACAGTTGCAGTAAACTGATTCCGTATAATTTGCTCTCCAAACTTAGGGTTTCAATAATCATTTGACAACTCGAACATTTTGCTGACCAACATGGAAATACAAGATAAAAGTAGTTCACCATACCTCATCTCATGAACAGGTGTTAAAACATGCCTCATTGTTCACAATCATAAACTCAAGTCAACTTTCCTTCTAGAAACTACCAAGAATATCGCCGTCAAACAAATCGTGTGCATTATTCTGAAAATAAAAGAACGGTAACCTTCTCCCCAAAATCTCTTCCAACATACATAGCATCTAGGAATTTAAGAAGACGTGCCTTAACAAGTTTATGTATTAGATGTTAGATTAGTCACCGACAGGGTTTGAACTCACGCCATCATACAAGAGCTCAATTCATTTCCATTACTGTGGTAAATGGCCACTTGCATCTTAACTCTTAAATTTGAGATGGTGTTTAGGGTAACTCTTATTATTATTTCTTCTTCACTCTCTTAATATTATTATTATTCATAGCCAGAAATAAAAGATAAATTAGTTTGTAAGGTTTTATGGAGCTCGTTTGGTGCCTATTAAATTGCATTGAATAACTCATAATTTGAGGTCTATTTGAACGTAGTAGTAAATAACTTTTCATTCAACATACTATTTCTTTAAGTTGCTCAAAATGGAATTAAAAAAACATTTCTTCATTCAACATACTTTAAATATAATGAATCATTTAATCCAATCATAAATATGAAGCGACCCATTTTTAGACATCCAAAATGTTTTAAGTTGTGATCTAATCTATGCCAAAAACAATAGAAGTTGGTAACCCAAAAACCGACCTTCATACTATTCCACAGCCAGCTAAACCACACAACAATTGACAATTTAATAAATCTTAGCTTCTAACTAAATGAAGAACCCGTTGTGACATAATACAAGTAGGAATAGTTAGGTTACCAATTAATCCAACATTTTTGTCCTCTTTCTTCATCTCCCCCGCTACAAAAAGCCACATATTTCTCCTCTAACTTCACCAAATCAATCAAAACAGTCGTATCCCACTTCGGATATCACTACTTCCCAATCACTTCTCACACAAATCCAAACAACTTTTATTCCAAATTTCCAATGGCACGAAAGTTTGAGATGTCTCTAGTCCTTGTCCTAGCGACCATGTTCTTGGCAAGGGCAGCAGCACAGTCCAGTTGCACAAACGTGATCATCAGCATGTCACCCTGCCTAAGTTACATCACTGGAAACTCCTCAACCCCTTCTTCCCAATGCTGCTCGCAGCTAGCTAGCGTTGTTGCTTCCTCCCCACAGTGCTTGTGTGAGGTTCTTAACGGCGGTGGATCATCCCTGGGGGTCAACGTGAATCGGACTCAGGCTCTGGCATTGCCTGGTGCTTGCAATGTCCAGACTCCACCACTCAGCCAGTGTAACGGTAAGCCTGCACATGCTCAATGCCTTCTGTCGGTGTTTAGAGTGACTCTCACATCAGGGAATTGAAGCCTTGCCTAATAGTATAAATGATCTTAGGCCTTTCCACCCTATTTATTGGTTTCGGGTGGATGCTCACATTCTAATGATCGTCTTAATCTTCTTCTAATAACTTGTATACCGTTATATTTGCGCAGCCGGTTCTCCAGCTGACTCACCAACAGGAGCAGCGGACTCTCCAAATAGTCCTTCAGGTACACAAAACAGTTCATATGATTATTTTAGCTGTGAATGAATCTATAGCAATTTCTACAAGGTTGACGCTGTATTGGTGTTCATATCGTGCAGGAACCGGATCAAAAAATGTACCATCGACTCAAGGTGGCTCGTCGGCCGGCAACTCCGTCAAGATGTCTACCACGACTCAACTCTTTCTTCTCTTGGCTGCGGCATATGCTATCTTTACAATGTGCTAATTTTTCTTTTCTGTCGGCCAAACATTTCGAGTTACGCATAATACTGTTTGTGATTGTTAACGTATTCGATTATTATTTTGAATTCAGTTGTTAGATTATTGATATATTCCTTGTGACCTCAGAGAGGTTGATATAGTTTTTGTACTTTATTTTTGCACTCAGAGAGGTTAATATGGTTTTTGTACTATTGAAAGAGGCAATCCTGCTCCCTTCCCTTTTTTGTTATAATAAACTTTTTCTAGCTTTTGGGTGACAAAATTATCAATTGAATTAGAATTATGATAATAAACATCAATCACAATATATAACAACTTCGGTAGAAAACTTACACTTATTGTAATACAAGCTTTCCAATCTCCGTCCTCCCGGATAGCCACATTGCACTTCCTGTGCAAAGGTTTGTCTCCCTACAGGCGGCTGGAGATGTAGGAACAGTATTAACTTCAGCCTAGTTTGCACATATGCAGAGATCCTACACTCAGATGAACCTCAACAATGTCTTGCTGAATCTCCGGAGAAGATGGTTCAAGGGCACCGACCGCTGTTTCTCAGTCAGTTTTAGATTAACTGGGAAACCCTCTGCATATCTGCAATGAGCAGGCAAGGGTTTGCAAATATGTAAAACGACCAGTCCATCTTCAAGTATACATCCTCAGGCATTCTCCTTGCCAACCCTGAATATTCAGCCAAGCATCTCCATGTACTCTTAGATTGATATAGTATCGTCACTCAGAAAAATTGTAATGTTACATTATCCTAAAAAATCATCAAAATTTTGATAACAAAACTTAAAATTTAAAGGAGCACAAAAGCGCAAGCCGCACCAACATGACTGCTGTAATCTCTTTCTTCCGCACCTTGATGCACATCAAGAATGTGATCTTGACCGCACAAATTCTTCTAATCTGTCCCACACCTCTAATGCTGCAGCTCTATCTTGATGTCGTTTATTCTTGCTAATCTGCACATTTAGAACACAGTTCAATATCGTTCGAGAACAGAACAAATAAATAACAAACATGAAGTGACAATGATTTCAATTACAAAACCAAGTCCCTAACTAGCTCAAGATGGTGAAAATTCTTACTGAGATGATCTTCACATTCCACTGCTTCACAATTTTTGCCGACTCCACGCTATCATCTTCGAACCGCATGAAGAAACCCATAACTGTATTACAATCAGACAGATACAAAATAAGCCAAATCATATCAGCTACAAATACAATGAAGTTTCAAAAGCCACATAAAACAAAGTCAGAAAGCTAAATCTCAACGAACCAGAAAACTATTTTTCAATGCAATTAAAACCTCAGAACTGAAAATTTCCACTTACTCTTATTGAAAATCTCAACATGGTCCTTGAAAGGCCAATCCTTGAACTGCCATTCCTTCCCCAACACGAAAACCGCCACAACACGGTCCCAATCCTCCGCCTTCAATGCTGAGGGCTTATCCCTAACCTCATAAGCCGTCACCACCCGGTCCCTATCCCTACTAAACTTCTTCTGCACCGTCACGCAGTCTGGCTTCGCCCCATTCATCTGCTTCACCTTCACATCAGTGGGTATATAAACCCCATCTTCCAAAAACTCCTTCACATTGTAAATCGTAATCAGCGTCTGAAACGCACTGGGCACCAAAATTATGGGCACCCCTTCCCCAACTTTACCTCCTTTCAAGTGCAATTTGGGCTTCGTATTCGGGTCGTAACCCGATTCATCTCCGAACCCGGTCAAGCCCCTCTCGTCGGAACCCATTAGCCTGCTTTTCGCCACCAGCCCGTCTTTCCTCTGCTGCGACTCGATACGCTGCCGTTCCTCTTCCCTCTTCGTCGCCGAAGTCAAAACGGCGTAAAAGTTCCTGCCTTTACACTCCAGCAACCCCTCGCGGTCCTTCAACGGCCTCTCGCTGGAGCAAATCAAAGACATGTAGTCCACCGGCGTCTCAATTTGAGTGAAAACCCTAGAATCCAAAGCGGCGTAATCGCCGTTGTCGTTGCTGATGTGGTTACCGTTGCTGGCGGAATCGAGGGCGGCAGGGATTTTGGGGTGGTGTATGGCGTCGTTCTGGGGAGGGAGGATGAACTCGATGGAGTCGGAGGAAGAGATCTTTCCGGTGAGGTAGTCGAGGAGGGGCTTGCGGTCGGGGAAAGTGACGGAGGGGATCCCCTGGGTGCGGGCGCACTGGATGTAGTCTGTGTGCTTGATTTGGTGGTTGTTGACGTAATAAAGGAGGGTTTCGAGGGTGTAGAGATTGCCTTGCTTGGAGCGGTAGGCGGTCTCGGCGTAGCAGGGGAAGCTGTAGTCGGAACCGAACCGGAACTCATCGTTGACCCGGACGATCTTGTCGAGCTCGCCGCGGATTGTGAAGTCGCGGAGGGCGGAGAGCGGGTCCATGGAGGATGATGCTGTTGCTTCAACTGTGGAAAGTGATCCGAGTGATCACTGAAACACTCTGATTACGTGCGGAGAGTAAACGGCACGTATCTGGCTCAGGGTTTGGCTCGCTTAGGGAGGAATATGATTATTTCACCTCCTCTTTCCATCTCCTTTCACCTCCTCTTCTCACCTTCTCTATTACTTTAAATTCTTATGGTTCAATTGTAATTTTAAGAATTCTTGAAGGATAATTTTTGGTATTTTGAATGTTTCACCTTTTAATCCTTCTCACTTTATATATATAGATATACATATTTTTTATAAAAATTTAATATAAGAGATCGACGTAATTTAAATATCACTGTTCAAATAAAAGGAAAGAAAATAAAAAAAATAAGGGATGAGAATCCTCCTTTCTTTTGGAATGGGGTTCCCTCGCATTTATAGGGCTTCTGTGTAAAGTGGGTTTGTACATTGGGCCTTGACATATGGTGGTGCTGTGAATTTAATCTAGTGCACATTGTTAAAATGTAAGCAATAGTTATCGAGTCATAAAGGAGAGATTTTTTTAGTATATTTGGAAGACAGTAGATACATCATCTATCATAATATAAGTAGAAAGACACTTAAAAATAGGGCTAAAACCTCAGACCATAAAGAGTGTGGCTTAAACCTCAGACCATGAAGAGAGGGAATTAAGCGACGAATGCGATCCAGGCCACTAGCGAGTAAGCAGATGAAGAAACTATCAAATTCCTCACACCTAGCGACTAGGTAGCATGATGAAGGGGAGAGATTTTTCAGTGTGCTCGGAACACAAGATACATATACCGTATGTCATTATACAAGTGGAGGAACACTTGGAAAAAAAAAATATTTCTTCCACTTATATATAATAACATATGCCGTACCACCTTATGTTCCGGATACAATGAAAAATTTGCAACTTTTAGGGCTTTTAATTCCCTTCCGCACACAGGACCTTGAGATTACTATTTATATAAAAGAATACGTTGTCAATCGGGGTTATGTGAAATCCACACGCAAGAGAGAATTTATGAGGTAGTCACTTATCATAGAATACCAAACCAAAGACATTATTTTTCCTTTATTAAATTTTTTTTTTTAATTTTCAAAGAAAGCCGATCCAACATGCAAATACAATACATTAAAACTGTATATTTCAACGGGATTCTTAATTATTTGCATGCTCTCTTGAACAAGATCTACACAGTATGAATAGATTCCATTGTGATCGAAGGTTAGTTTAACAGCTTACCACACAAGTCAGAAGAACGGTCACCAGCCAGGATATTATACATATACTTAAAACTCATCCAAAACACTGTTCCTTAACAGTGTGAGGACAAAAATGCCTTCTAATTCCTTTGATATCAGTCCTTTTTTTCCATTTTACACAGCAAAAGGACGGGTTTGCCCTCCAAGCCCACGCGTCCATCATCGATGCACCTTCTGCTTCGACTTCCGCTTCTCGACTCTTCTGCTTTATTCTGCTTTCCCTCATCCAAAAAAAATAAAGAAAAAGATCGCTGCTTCTCCTACTCTCTCGCTCTCTCCAACAATTTTAAGGATTGCTGCGTGCTTCAGATTGATTTCTGGAAATTGGAGGAACTGATGAAATTGGCGTTTGAATTTTAGGGGAGGTTGAGTTCTTTAATGTTTCTGATGAGTTTCCTGTGTACGAAGTGCTTTCCATCTCCCATTTTCTTGATTTATTAAGGACTTATTTGCATTTTGTTGGATTTGTAAATGGGAAAATATCAAAGTGAGAAAGAAGCAGCTCTTGGTTTCTTACAGGGAAGCATATGCAGCACACCCAACTGAAACATTGAGTGAGGTACTCAAGTATAGGTTTGGTTTCATTAACCTTTTGGGTTATTAAATTTGTATGCTCTGATTGTTTTGCAATTTGAGTTTGGATTGGAATTTAATTTTGATTTACAAATTTCTGATAAAACCTCAAAAAGAAATTTAGGAACGTGCATTTTGTTTTTTGGTCTTCTTTCTTCTTATTTTTTGGGTTTTCATCTGGGTTATTTTCTGAACATGCTCCATTAATTTATGCTTGGTTTCATATACCCTACAGCAGTCAAATAAATAACCTTACAGAACCAGAAGCCACTGAAATGGCGAGTGGCATATATGTTTATTTCTATGTTTTCAAATCTGGGTTTTAGATATTTTTCTTTGTTTTGGTTAATTATGGAATTTTGGCTCCCAATTTCTTAAAACTTATTTTTTTCCCTATTTAGTGTGAGAATATGGGTCCAAGATTAGATTCTTCCAATTTCTGGGCAGAGAAAACAGGGTGGTGACAGTAGAGAATTCCAACTTCTTTGTGGTGGAAATCATAGTTTCATTTTAGATTTTCTTTTGGGTTTAAGAAATGAGTTGGAATGATGTCTCATGATTATGTGAAAGTTTTTTTTTTTTTTTTTTTTTTAATTTAGTTGTGAACCTAATAATCTAATTGTGTCTCATGATTATGTGAATATTAATAAATTTAGTTGTGAACCAGAACCTGGGTATCAACCAAGGACTGATATCAATTCTACACCAAGTCCCAGAAGGTCATGGTGGGGTATATTGGAGAGGAGGCGCTCTTCTGAAGACAATTACAGATCCAAGTGATGTGCATTGAGAAGTTGCTTGCATAGGGCCTTAAATTTGCCTGCTTCTCATTATTTCAAATTTCAGGTTTTCATCTCAAGTTGCCTCTGGTCACCCATTTTGAACCCGTTCAAGTGACCCTACAGACTGATCAGGTAACTTTGGTAATCCATGTTTGGATGATTGAGGATTCTGTCTTTCCCTTCATTATAGCTTTGAAAGCTTCTGTTAGCAACATTGTAGGTAAGGGATATTCCATGCGGTACAAAAGGGAGTGTCATGATCAAACAATTTTGAGAAGATTGAGGTAAGGCTATGCGATATTATTCTTTAGTATTTGTATATTAGTTTCACTTAGTTGAAGGTCTTGAAAAACTCCATTTAATAAATCCAAAACGTGTATTCCTTTAGGAGCCGTTTGATAACCATTTGGTTTTTAGTTTCAAGTTTTTGTTTAGATTTATTTTTGGGCATTTAACATAACTTTACTTTAGTATATGTAGATTTAGTATTAAAATTTAGTATAAAGTTATATATTATCTTCTTCTTAGGTTCTTCAAGCATTTAGCTTCTTAGAATATCATTTTTGAAAAAACTGGAGTAGTGCATTTTTTAGTGTGGCCTAACTTCCTTTTCATTGAAGTGGGATTTTTGAGAGGGACTGGTGGATCTTTGAAAAGGAACTTGGTAGAAATTCCTTATTACACTATTCTGTCTCAAAAGTTGTGAATTATATGCAGGTATGGATGTTGTCTTAGCAGATCGTTGTTTTAAACAACTGACTCATTTTTTGCTATTACTTTTCAGATTTTACTTATGTAAATACTCTCTCTTCATTTTTCAGATGGTTGACAAATTGGATGATGAAACCATGGCAATAGAATTTGGTCCATCTGATTTTAAAGAGGCCCTATAAGGTAATATGCTCTGCCTCAATGTTACAAAGCTCTTACATTAGTTTTTTCTTGCTCCTTTTTAACTCTTGACATGATTTCAGGGTGTTGGAAGAGCCCTCTTCTGAGCACATGTCGAGGGTCAACTAAAGGTTAACAGATTTGTATATTTATTATTAGCTATCTCTTAATTATGATGCCGTTAAAAAAAAAAAAAAAAAAAAAAAAAAAGAAAGTTAAGGATAAGTTGAAGGGTTTGAAAGAAACTAAAGTGGAATTAATTGGAACCGAACCATTCACTAGAAATCGATATATTTTTAGGTGTATTTGGAATACAAAGTAATATAATAAGTGGTATATGTGGTCTATATTTTCTATACTTTTTTCTTATAATCTCTTATGCCTTGGTCTAATTACTTTCTTGAATTCAATTTGTTTTTGCAGAAACTTGGTTGCAAGGCAAGTTGGAAGCGCAAAAAAGTTTGATCGCGTCCTATAGAATTGCCAGAGAAGGTCATCTCCATTTTGTGCAAAATCAGACTTCTTTCTGCACACGAAAATACTAGGTAAGCACGCATCATCCTTATTTTGTTCATGATATAATTCTACAATCTATAAATTTATCTCAATTTTTTTTCCTTGCCTGGGATGCTTCCTTAATGACCAACATAGCAGAGCACAACTTTTAGTGTTGCAGTAAACAACATTTCCCATTAATGTTTTTGGATAGGAAGTGTTTTTTCGTATCCAAAGAACTTCGTAATATTTTTAATAGACGAAATAGGTTTCTCTTTTGATATTTAAATTTGTTTCATTCATGATGAGGTTGTGTATAATTTGTATTGGCATTGGTAACTCAGTTTTTGACGCAAACATTGTTTATGAAGATTGAAATTGTATAATCTTTCATATAGTTTTCAATCCCGCAGCGACGCGTGCGTACAAATTTTAGTGATCATCTAAACTTCATCAGTTCAACGTATTGGATTTAAAGTAAAATGATACCAACTTAGAGGAAATATTCTACCAAAGTTCTAGACTTCCAGGTACAATATACCAACACTATCTGGAGCAATAGTTATGTCATAATTTAATATATCTAGGGACAGTGTCATACATTTATTTTAAACTTGTGGCCTATCATAGGACAGTATACGTATATTTAGTTGGCCTAATATTTTTCTTTAAAATTCAAGTCCAACTTAATATACGTAAACTACGTAGGAAAATTTTATTTGAATCTATATAACCTCTTTCTACATCCAACTTATTCTTTACACCTATATAGTTTTTGATTGAACTATCAACAAATGTCTCTTTAAACCCAATTTTATTACCTAAACTACTCTCACAAACTTAATTTAATATGTAAATTTATCTTTACACTCATTTTGAAAATAAAAACTCAAAATCAGTGTTCTACAATTTGTTTTCCACAACTCGTTGATTGAGAGTGTAATGTCCATGCATCTATGGAGTCGTGTTTGATGAATTGGTCAAACAAGCAATCTAGAATCGGGAAGACAAGATTAGATGAGGTAATTAATGTTAGATTGTAGAGATTAGCATAGGATTATGCCAAGTGTTATGTATTAGATGTGTGTTATGTGTCACAAGTGTATTAGGTGAGTTAGTTATGTGTGGAAAATTATTTATATATAAACAAGAGATGTAATATTTAGATAGTTATGAAGTGAAATATTACAATCAGTTTCTCTCTCTAAACTTTCCTCTCTACTTCTCTCTCTAAAGTCTCTCTGTAAGCTTTGTTAACATGGTATCTTCGCTGGCGACTGGTAACTCCATTCGTTGACAACGATCTCTGCACCTGTGCTTCCGCTCGTATTGGTAAGTGGTGGTGCTTTTGTATACTTCTCTGTCTTTCGGTGTTTGCTCATTGAAGCTATGTCGGTGTGCAGTCAATGCTATGTCGGTGCAGGAAGTCGGTGATTAACTTCTTGATTCTTGTTTTCTTTGAAGGATTTGTGTTGTGCTTGTTGAATGATTCTTGATTCAATCACATTCAACTGTCGGTGTGTTCTTGATTTTGGCACATTTGTTCATCTTTATGCTTTGGAAATCTCTGTGTATTTCGTATATTTGTTGACTCTATTGATTTGTTGTGCTACTATACAATGGTTACGGTTACTCAGTTAGCTTTCCCTCAGTCACCAATTTCTTCGTTAATTCCTAGTGTTGGCAACACTGTGACTATAAAGCTTGATGATTCCAACTATGTCACTTGGAATTTTCAAATGGAACTATTGTTAGATGGAAATGGGATTCTTGGGTTTGTTACTGGGTCCATTCCCTGTCCAAACAAATATGTAGATTCTGATTCTGCAGATGAAACTGTTGACAATCCACGAGTGCTTAATGATGCATATAAGGTGTGGAAGATTCATGACAAAGCTTCAATGACTCTTATAACTGCTACCTTATCCACTGCTGCTTTATCCTGTGTCATTGGCTGTTAAAGTTCTCGTGAAATGGGGACTAATCTCAAAGAAAGGTTTTTTAATATGACAAGAACTAGTATTGTTCAAATGAAGATTGACTTACAGAATATCAAGAACGGACCAGAATCTATTGATGTGTATCTGCATCCCATTAAAGATTGTAGAGATCAACTTGCTGTTGTGGGAGTGCTGATTTCAGATGAAGATATTGTTATTGTGGCTATTTGAGGTCTTCCATTTGAGTATAATACTATCAAAGCTGTTATTAGGGGAAGAGAAAATCTTGTCACTATTAAAGAACTCTGATCTCAACTAAAAGCTGAAGAGTCTACATTGGAGGTTAAGCAAGCTTCTGTGAAGACTGCCATGTTTGCTAATTCTCTCAATTCTGATTTTGAAGATGGTAACTTTTCTGGATTAAAGTACTATTCTCAAGGTAGTCCTCAGCAGGCTTCTTCATTTCATCCAATGCCTGCATTGCAACAAATGTCATCAGTTCCACAAATGTCATCAGTTCCACAAATGTCATTTTCTCAGAGTCAACAAGTCTCACCAATGCCATTTTCACAGATGAGTGGACAAAAGGCAAAGGACAATTTCAGGGGTCCTAATTTCAAATCAAAAGGCAAAGGGAAGAAGTTTTATTCTAGTTCTCAACCATCTTTTCAGCAACCTTCAGTCACTGGTTCTCAGTCATCACATCAGTCTTTACCAAGACAAGCATATCAACCTTTTCAATTTTGTCAAATATGCAACAGAAAAGGTCATACTGCTCTTACTTGTTTTCAAAAAGGATGTCAGATATGTCACAGAGTTGGCCATACTGCAGCAACCTATTTTGACAAAACGAATTCTCCCAGTCAATCTATGCCTGTACCACATGCTTTTCCACCTTATTCTCAGCAGTTTCAGTCTTCATCCTCTACAACACCTTTTAATGGACAGAATTCTCACATGATGGCGTATTCTTCTTATAATCCTGCTATGATGGTGTCTCACTCTGTGCGTTCTATTGCAATGACTGCCAGAACAAATGCTTATCCCTCTGCTCCTTCACATGAGTATTGGTTGCTGGATTCAGGTGCTACAAATCACATGACTTCTGATTTGTCCAACCTGCAAATGGCTACTCTATATCCATCGTCCGACACAGTCACATGAGCTAATGGTGAAGGTTTGCATATTGCTCATATTGGCAAATCAAATCTTTCACTTCCATCACATAGTTTTCAACTAAAGTCCCTTTTACATGTTCCAAAGCTGTCTCAACATGTTCCAAAGACAATAACTGTAGGTGTATTGTTGATGAATTCTGTGTGTGCATACAGGACAAGGCCACTCAGAAAATACTCTATCACGGACTCAGTGATAATGCCGTATATCCACTTAATGTGCTTAAGTCTTCAAAACCTTCTCCAGCAGCATTTATAGGACAAAAAATAAACTTCGCACTTTGGCATTGCAGATTGAGTCATCCTACAAATTCAGTTACTAAGGTAGCCCTTAGTAAAGCAAACATTCATGTTTCTTGTAATGATACTCCTCATACGTGTATTGCTTGCACAACAAGTTTACTAGACTACCATTTCCTGTAATGGCTTCCAAGTTTGTTGTTCCCTTTGAAGTCATTCATTCTGATGTATGGGGACTAACCCCTAGTATGTCTATCGAGGGATATAGATACTATGTGTCCTATATTGATGAATGTACAAGATATACATGGATATTCCCATTAATGAATAAAGTTGTGATTTTTGGAACTTTTGTTCAGTTTCAAGCTTTTATTCAGACTTCTTTTATTGCAAATATCAAAGTTTTACAGAGTGATGGTGGTGGTAAGCATGTGAGTGCTCAATTTCAAGCTTTTCTTAGGGATAAAGGTATTCAACATCAAAGATCTTGTCCTTATACTCCTGCACAGAATGGCCTCGCTGAAAGAAAAAATTGACATATTGTTGAAACTACCATAACTCTACTTCAACAGGCCAGTTTATCTTCTCAGTTTTGATATCATGCTTGTGCCACAACTATATATCTCATAAATAGGATGCCAACCTCAGTATTGTCGATGAAGTCTCCTTTTGAGGTATTGTATCATTTCGCACCCAAGTTAGATCATTTAAGGGTGTTTGGCTGTGCATGTTATCCCTCTTTGCAACCATATCGAAATAATAAGCTTAATCCAAAAATTACTACTTGTATTTTTTTGGGGTATGCAGCACAGTACAAGGGGTTTATTTGTTATGCTCTTAAGGATCATAACCTCATTGTACCTCAGCATGTTTTGTTTGATGAAACTGTGTTTCCTCAACTTCATTCACTCTCTTCTTCTAAGACATCTAAACCTAAGTCATCTATGCCACCTTTGGTGATGCATCCCAATACATTTAATCATCCATCACTAGTGCCTATTCCTTTTCCCCAAGTTTTTTCAGAATCCTTTACATCATCACATGTTTCTCAGCCATGCAATTTGTCAAACAGTGATATTGTTTCTACTGATCGAGCTTCACAGTCAGTTCCAGATTCTATTTCTCTACAACTGGCTCACTCTGAGTTGCATCCCAATGTTGCTGTGTCACAAGCTACAGAATTAAAACAAGTGTCTTTGTCTTCAGCTAATATTCATCCTATGCAAACTAGGTCAAAGTCTGGTATGATAAAGAAAAAGAAAGTTTTTAGTGCTCATGTTCAGGACGATTCTTTTGTCAAGGAACCTCAGTCTTATTCTGCAGCTTCCAAAATTACTCACTGGCATGCTACTATACAAGAGGAGATGGATGCTTTGATTCAACATCAAACTTGGAATTTAGTTCCTCTTCCTCCCAATAAAAATGTGGTCAGGTGTAAATGGATATATTGTGTTAAAAAGAATCATTATGGTTTAGTTGCTCGTTACAAAGCCCGATTAGTGGCTAAGGGGTTCTCTCAGGAAGCTGGTCGTGATTACTATGAGACGTTTAGTCCAGTAGTTAAACCTAATACTGTGAGGCTTTTGTTGTCTCTAGCTACTTCACATGAGTGGAAACTGAAACAACTAGATGTCAAAAATGCTTTCTTGCATGGGTTTCTCGAAGAAGAAGTTTTATGGCTTAACCACATGGATTTGTGGATGTTAATCATCCTGAGTATGTTTGCAAACTTCAAAGGTCTCTTTATGGTTTAAAACAAACTCCGAGAGCTTGGAATGAGCACTTTACCAGGTTTGGGATTTACTTCATCTTATGTTGATCCTTCGTTATTTATGAAATCAAATGGTCACTGTCTTGTGGTTCTTCTTTTATATGTTGACGATATCATTCTTACTGGGAATGTTGAGAGTCATGTTCAAGCTGTAATCAGTCAATTGACCAAAAAATTTGATATGAAGGATCTTGGTTTGTTGCACTACTTTCTTGGCTTACAAATTGAATATCAATCTCAAGGTATTTTTGTTCATCAGTCCAAGTATATTACAAATCTTCTTCATAAAACTGATATGCTTCATTACAAACCTTTCATCACTCCTTGTCATCCTAATCGAAAGCTGTTAAATCATGGTAGTTCCTCTGTTGCAGATCCCAGTCTCTATAGAAGCATTGTTAGGGCTTTACAGTATCTCACCTTCACAAGGCCTAATATTGCGTATTCACTTAACTAAGTGTGTCAGTTCATGCATTCACCTCTTGAAGATCACTTTGTTGCTGTTAAAAGGATCTTGAGGTACGTTCAAGGCACAACTGGACATGGTATCTGTTTTAGACCTGGTTCCATGGATATTAAGGCATATAAGATGCTGATTGGGTTGGTGATCCTAATGATCGGCGTTCAACTACTGGTTTTGTTGTGTTTTTAGGCTCTAATCCCATATCGTGGAGTTCTAAGAAGCAACATATAGTGAGTCGATCTTCTACAGAGGCGGAATATCGAGCCATAGCTACTACTATTGCCGAGGTTGTGTGGCTTCAACAACTTCTCAAGGATCTTCACATTTCTAATTCATCTATTCCACTTCTACATTGTGATAATATTTCTGCAGTGGCACTGGCCACTAATCCTGTTTTACACTCTAAAGCAAAGCATATTGAAATTGACTATCACTTTGTGAGAGAACGAGTTCAACAAGGCACCATTTTGTTGTAGTTTGTGTCTTCTGCAGAACAGTGTGCCGATGTTCTTACAAAAGGGTTGTGTTCTTCAGAGTTCCATGTGCATTGCTCCAATCTTATGCTCGGTTCCCACCTACATAAGCTTTGGGGGGGGGGGGGGGAATGTTAGGCTGTAGAGATTAGCATAGGATTATGCCAAGTGTTATGTATTAGATGTGCGCCATGTGTCACAAGTGTATTAGGTGAGTTAGTTATGTGTGGAAAATTATTTATATATAAACAAGAGATGTAATATTCAGATAGTTAATGAAGTGAAATATTACAATCAGTTTCTCCCTAAACTTTCCTCTCTACTTCTCTCTCTAAAGTCTCTCTGTAAGCTTTGTTAACAATTAACTCATATGTTATGGTCTTATTGTGCTTATTTGAGATTGAAATGTTAAACCAATATGCTTATTTCTCTTACAATAGAAATCGAGTTGGTTTTAATCCTTGTGTGCTTTATCTGAATTGCATTCCCATTGTTTTTATCCCATTGTCGCTTGATAAACAGATGCATTAGCGTTTTGCAAATGCTTTAATCTCAAGTTTTTACCTCTGTTTTAGGATTAGGTGTCTTGGGTGGTGGAATTGTAATCTGTAAATCCATATTCTTAGGCATCACTTGGGTTTTAGCCACAGTAATTCAAATCTGCAAGAATTATAGGATTCAAAATCATTTTATATATACACGTACACCAATAATAATAATTAACTCATGCCTGAGTTGTCATTGGAAACGGCAGTGGGTATATTATTAGTGGGTTAATTGATAAATTTTAGTTTGATTCTTGATTTCATCATGTATTTGATGGTAATTATACAATGGAGTAAAACTGACAATTCACATTTTAAATTTAAGTTGGGTGTAAAGTGAAGTTATATGAGTTCAAATAAAACTTCCCAACTATATATTAGCAAACTCTCTTTTCCAATCCAAAGAGGATAAAAGACCAAATTAATCTTGTCAACAAAACTTAAAAAAACAATAGCCTGCTTCAGTTGTAATTTCGTTAGGAATGTAGGGGTACCTGCAAGAACACAGAATACGATATATAACTAAAGCATAGTGAATTTGGGGTTTGCTTTAGAAACCAAAGTGTGAGTAGCTTCGGGACTACGGAAGGATATCAACGGTGCAAAGAAAAGAAATAAAATAATGAATCGTTAATGAAAAAAAGTGAACTTCAGGCCAATAATTTTAGATTATTGTCGAATTAATGGACTATTGGTCACTTTAATTAATCCAATATCGAATTTGATCGTGGAAGAAAAATAATGACGTTCAAGTCATAGTAGTTAAGGTTTCTTCGGGCCAAGCAATTACGAAAATATGGTTTAGCATGACTTTAACCTAAAGCACCCCAAAAATATTTGGGTGTGGCTGATAAGCGAGGGTACCAAAAATTGGCATTTGGGTTGAAAGATATCGCAGTCCGACAAGGATTTTCCGGCTGCCGGTACACGACCCTACAACAAAGTTGCAAGCCTTGGGTTCTCAGGCACATGCAGCAGAGTAGCGGGCCGAGGCTTAGGACAAAGATTGGTGAGCTTCAAGCCCAACGAGATCAGAACCCAGGCCTCGGGCATGGTCGTTTCGCGTGCAGCAAGAGCCTAGAGAGCAGCTGCCTTCATTAGACGTCAAACCGACGTCTCCCAGTCGTTAGCTCAACGCGGCTGGGCTGCAGGCTAGCCAGCGTGGCTCGGCACGGCTTCGAGCCGCAGCTTTGACGCGAATTTCCCAGATCTTTTTTATTTTTTCTTTCAATTCTAGGGTTAGAAAAAAACCAAAATTGCTTCTATTTTCTTTTGTTTCTTTGACTCAAATTCCACATGGCAAATTTATAATTACGTTATGCATGAACATAAATATATTGACAAATTTATCAAATATACTATATATATATATTTAGGAAGGTAAAAATAAATGTAGGGAGTTCATGCATCATAGAGAATGTTTTCATGCATCATGGTCGTTGAAAATATCAAACAGGGATTTTAGGAGAATTTGATTGGTAAAAAACAAGAGAGTTTTAACGAAAAACCCACGATACTGTTCACTTTAATGAAAAATCACATTTTTACACTAAAAAGTCAAACTAGTACTATTCACTTTACCCTTTATTTTGTCCTTATCGTTAAAACTCAAAGTTTTCAAGTCCTTTTCATTAATTTTCCTAAAAAACAATTGAGCCTTTGAATTTTTAAAATAATCTCCACGAACCTTCAGTTCCTTAGTGTCAGGTTAGAGTGTGTTGGTAACGTGTTATAGGCCTATTTAACTAAACAACTAAAGAGCAGAGAGAGAGGAGGCGTGGCAACAAGAGAGAGGAGAGAGTTTATGTTACTTTAAGGTAGATTTTTTTCTCACCTCATTGTGCTTTTATTTATAGTACTAGCGAAGGTAAATTTTTAAAATTAAAAAAAATAAATAAATAAAAAAAACCTGGAGGTTTCATGATCTATAACACAACCACTTATAATTCTTAATCAATTAGGATTTATACTGCTTTGGCCGACCCAGTTTGAAATGAGGTCTGTATTTTTGTCAATTTTTATTGTTCTGTCTTTGCCAGATCCCCACCAACTTATGAAATGATATGGAGTGACTTTTACGACAACGCAGAAGTCTAGGGCCTCAACTACTATTATATATAGAGCTAGCTTGCATGTCAACTATTGTATGCGGGAAGGAAATGTGAAAGTCTACCTGCAACCTGCAGGGGTTCTCAACTACTATTATATATAGAGCTAGTCTTGCCTTCAAGACAAACAAACAAACCAAGAGGCAAAAAGAAGCATCCCAATAACATTTGGTACACATGGAAATGAGCAAGGTTCTGGTGGTAGGTGGTACTGGGTACGTAGGACGAAGGATTGTTAAGGCAAGCCTAGCCCTAGGTCACCCAACCTATGTCCTTCAAAGGCCAGAGATTGGTCTTGATATTGAGAAGCTGCAGATGCTCTTGTCCTTCAAGAAGCAAGGGGCTCACCTTGTGGAGGGCTCCTTTTCTGATTTCCAAAGCCTTGTTCGTGCTGTCAAGCTTGTCGATGTTGTCATTTGTACCATGTCCGGGGTGCATTTTAGGAGTCACAACATTTTGTTGCAGCTCAAGCTTGTTCAAGCTATCAAAGAAGCCGGAAATATTAAGGTATGTGTATATTATTTCCATCTTCAGTCATCAATTAGTTACTGAAGTAGTAGTATTTATTTGTCCACTTTGTATAAAAAAGAACAGTGTAACTTTAATTATCAAATGACATGGTAACTACGATGTATGACCTCATATTTTTTAAATTAACAAATAGAGGTTCAGAACGAACACAAGTTACACAACTATATATGAACAAATCACCGCACCAAAAGTTTGGATTTAAAAATGTAGGTTTTGATTAGATGTTTTATAGCACACATCACACAGCATGCAGGAGTTACAAGTCTAGAGTAAAACCACACAGGTTGTGCGTGCTGTGTTCAACATGAATGGTGAACGAAGAAATTCACAATTTTAGGTCAACAGCTTTTTGTTCTTGGGGTGTGCTATTTACACGCATATCTTTTTACTGCTCACACATCTCTTGTTAAATTCTGTCATTTGATATTTTTTTAATTCATTCAATCCGACCGCCGAAAATAAGAAGAGTGTGAGAAATAAACAAGGGGTGTGGATATCACACCCATGTTCTTTCCCTTTAATAAAGGTCCTTCCTTACAGAGGATAATTAGACCTGACATTCGTGTTGTGTTTTCCGTGTTCGTGTTATTTTCGTGACATATCTGATATTTTAACAAGTCGTATCGTGTAACACGCGTTAAAGTAAACGGGTAATATGACCCAACTCAAAATTAACCCGTTAATATTATTAGATAATATGACCTGACTCATTAAAGAAAAAATATTTTTTTATCAATAAATAATGAAAATGAAAAACATAATTTGACCCAAAAATTGGAAAACATAATGCTAAATTAGTATATGCATACCATATTGTTACATAAATATTACTTCAAAACATTAAAAAAAAAAATTGTCTTTCACATTTTTTAGATTTGTACATTAATGATTATAGATTTAATTTATTTTAAACTCTTTTAAAAATACTATTCATGAGCTTTTGCATTTTTTTTTTTCACATTTTTCGCAATTGTAAATTAATTATTATGAATTTTTTTATTGTGTTTGGTGGGCTGTTGGCCTACCAAACACTTGCCGCCTGAAAGGCGGGCAGCGCGCTTTACTTGATAATTTTATTTTTAATGTGTTTTGTAATTTTTTTAATCTCACTCTTTGCCTATAGTATATTATAAAAATAAATAAATAAATTTTTAAATTTATATAGAATAATATTACAATAATACATACTTAGTATATATACATATATAAGCTGCCTTAGTAGTTTAAAAAATAAAATCATCAAAATAACTTTTTTTTAATGTGTCAAAACGGATTACTCACGTGTCATCCTCGTGTAAACCTGTAATAATCCGTTATTAACGGGTCGTTATCATGTAACCCGATAACAATCCGATTAGTTATCGTGTTGATCTGAAACTCATTATTTTCGTATTTTTTACATATGTTAACGAACCATGTAAAAAATTACCAGGTTTAAGGAGAACCCATTTATTTTCATTAAGAAAAATCTTTTAATGAGCTTTTTGGTGGTAGGTGGAATTGGGCAAAAGATCAATGTCCTGTGGCCGGTTATTTATTGTTTAATAGTGATGATATGAAATATGAAACTTTAACGAAAAAATCTCGTTACTATTTATTTTAACGAAAAATCATATTTTTACACTAAAGAGTCAATCCTAACTATTCACTTTACCATTTATTTTGTCCTTATCGTTAAAACTCAAAATTTTCATGTTATTTTCATTGGTTTTCTTTATGAAATATGGTGTTACTCTTTGTTTATTATAATGAGGAATGTTAAGGAGAGTTTTTCAAAAAGTGGAACTCTCAAGGTATTCTACGCCACCTCATATTTTGGCACAATCTTGTGTCAATATTATAAAATATCTTGTGTCAATATTATAAAATATTATTTTAAAAATATGAGGTGGCGAAGAGTCCCAAGAGTCTCCTTAACATTTCTCTAATATCATAAACCATATTGATAATGCAAATGGTGGGTTACCCTGATGATTAGGGTCTCTCATTTCAACTCACTGCGTCAAAATCAAAACCCTCTCCTTCGTATAGATAAGTGTAAAATATCATTAAAAAAAAAAATCCTATTGTTATTGTAGGGGTGTTGAATTATGTACTTTTCTCTTCCTTCCCTTGATTTTCTGTGCAGCGTTTCTTGCCATCAGAGTTCGGTCTAGACCCAGCACGTATGGGACATGCACTTGAACCGGGAAGAGTCACATTTGACGAGAAAATGGTGGTGAGAAAGGCAATACAAGATGCTAAAATCCCCTTCACTTATGTATGTGGTGCTGCCTTTGGGGGTTATTTTGCGGGTAACCTTTCGCAGATGGGGACTGTCCTTCCTCCAAGGGAGAAAGTGCTTCTTTATGGAGATGGTAACTCTAAAGGTACACATATGTTTCTACATCAATTACTATATTTGTTTGGTTTAATTTAAACGACACGCGCAGAAACTAATTGTCTTTGTTGATGATCTCCATGTTTTGTGCAGTCACTCTTATGGATGAAGATGACATCGCAACATACACGATCAAGACGATAGATGATCCACGAACATTGAACAAAACATTGTACCTTCGTCCACCTGAAAACGTACTCTCTCAGAAGCAATTGGTCGAAATGTGGGAGAACCTTCTCGGAAAGAAAGTAGAAAAGATCACTATTTCTAAACAAGACTTTCTTGCTTCTATGAAAGGTATTTAATCATTTGAAATCAGTTGTGTTCAAGAAAATTACAAACATATATTCATTAGTAAATTAATGGCTCTAGGTTAACCCCAGTTAACTGCATTTATATATATGTGGTTAATCCTGTTGATCAATCAACTCCTTGTCGATCAATTAAGGATTAACTGACACCAATTAGTGCTAAGAATCCATTGTTTAAAATCTAACATAAGCTTTAAACTTAAATTTCACACCTTAAAGTAGGCAACCATGTAAGATAACATATAGAAAACTTACAAAAATGATAGAAATAAATTAAAGTGGGGTACTTTCAGTTCTCAAATTATAGGATGTTAATCTGTCGCTACGGGGATCAATCAACATTCATATATAGCTACTTGTGGTTAGTCAGCATTAGAGAGTTACACATCTTATCTAGTTGATTTTGATCTCGATCTGAAATATTATACTTCAGGCATGGACTATGCAGGCCAGGTAGGAGTGGGGCATTTTTACCACATTTTCTATGAAGGCGATCTGACAAACTTCGAAATCGAGGGAGAAGGAGTAGAAGAAGCTTCAAAGCTTTACCCGGAAGTGAAATATACACGCATGGATGAATACTTAAAATTATATGTATGAAATCATTTCAATGTATTTAATAACAGTTTCTCCTAAAATTATATGTTGTACTGTAATCCATCTATGCACTTTTATGCGTGTAGTAGTAGTGTATGTTCAATCAATACGAGCGTGGCATATATACTGCTAGTGATAAGGAACCTTACTATGTGTGTGTGTGTGTGTGTGTGTGTGTGTGTTATATGTAATAGAGTGAGGGCTGAGTGAGAAATCGAAAGGCAATAGCCAGTGTTGTATTGTTGCACCAAAGCCATAATATATCAAATATTACTAACATTTCAGTAATATATATCAGATAGAACATTAGTTGCATTATTTGTCCTATTACTTTTATTGGGTACAAATACATCAAGTTTGCCAATCTGTAGAAAGAAGACTGAAAATCACCATGTCCCTACTTCTTCCCTTCAAGATAAAATACTTTCTCAACACACCTTCTCTCTGAAACCCTACCTTCTCAAGCACCCTCTGTGATCCCACATTGTCCACGTCAACAAGAGCTTCAAGTCTATCCAAATGTGGCCACTCTTTGAATATAGCATCAGCCACCAATTTCACAGCCTGGGTTGCAATTCCCTTGCCCCAGTACTTGGACCCCAAAACGTATCCAAGTTCACCTCTGCACCGATCATTGCCCGAGAAAGGGGTCACAGAAATGGAACCGATTGGCATGTTGTCAAGGCAGATTGCCCTTAACCAAGGGTGTGGGATGATAACATCCTTGATGTAGTTTAGGCCCTCTTCTTTGGAAGCATAAGGTTCCCAAGTGCAGAAAACTGGGACTTTCTCATCTGTGGCCCACACCATGAAATCATCAATATCATCGAGATCCAAGGGCCTCAGGGTGATCTTGGACAAGTCAATCTCGCTGCATTCTCTTCCATTTGACATAGTAGAACTTCCCACCATATGAACGATTCTCAATATTTTCACTTTTGAATATATGAAAATATACCATTGTTTGAAGTTGTAACGGCCTTTGAAGTTTATATATATATGCACGAAAAGTGAAGGCACAAGAACTTGCCTAGAAGGTTGAATTATAATTGAGTTGGGTCCAAATGGGTTCCTTGCGTCGGTCAATTACTTGGAAGTGAAGAAAGAAGTAAATGGATATGAGTGATCAATAAGAATTAGAAAAACTGCCGCAAATAGTATGGGAGCATTTGGCCGCCTTGTTTGACCAACTGGCAAGGCACCACTAGGAAGTTTCCATGGGAATAAAAAAAGGAAAAAAAAAAAAGGGATTCACAAATGGATGCTCTGCTTCCCTTCGATCTTTGATTGCTTAATGTGTTGAACAAAAATGTAAATTTTTGGAAGGAATAATTGAGAAAGTGACTTTATTTCACTTAGTGATCGATTTGAACTTCGTGTTTATAATCGAGGTCGTTCATATTATTAATCTTTTTGTAAAATATCATCTCTACATAAAATAAATTACAACTAAGATTGTTTAGTAATTCTATTGTAGTAAATAGATATTGATGGTTCTTAATGCTTTTACCAAATCCGTCCATCAATTGTTACATAGTTCAATAACTAAATAATCTCATATTTTATCAATTTTTTACACAAATGATTTTTACAAAATGCTTTATAATATGAACATTCTAATCACAAAAATGAAGTTCCATAAATCGGTTACATAGTGAATTGAGGAGGAATTCCTCCTCATCTATCAAGAAGGAATTCTTCCTCATCTATTGAGGAACTAACTTAATTACATTTTTTATTACGTCGCCTTTGTGCAACTGGACTAATTGGTTATGTTTCTTGTGTGAAAGAACTGTCAACTGTATGACTACGTTAGCATGTTTGGTACAACTGCGTTTGAAGTTTGGGTGTAAGAGAGACACAATCTCTTAAGGAACTAGTCGAATAGTAATGGATATTGCTATTCACACATTTATTTTTATTTTTTACATATTTTTATTAATTTTTTGTTATTAATCTTCTTCAATTTATTTGATCTGTTCCACCAAAAATTGATAGAAGTGTGTAAAAAGTAAAAATGGATGTGTGAGATATGGATGACACTACCCATAATCAGTGGCGGATCCAGGATTTTAAACTCGGGGGGTCCCAATTATAAAGGTCAAAAAATTTATAAACAAAAATAACATTGAAAATTTAAATATAATACACTTCATTCAAAAATCATATGCAAAACAATATTACAAATTATAAAATCATAATTCAAGCGTCCATTACGAGATTTCATAAGTTACTAGGGAGTATCTAAGTTATTGATTATCTAATATGAATCATTAAATTTAAAACACCGATCAAATAAAACTCTCCCCAAACTCTCATTATCTTTCTAACCAAACACACCACGTTTCTTTTTTACTAGTTTCCAAACATCCACCTTCTCTCTCATTAAGAACAAAGCTGTCATGGCAGCTCCACCCCCAAATTTCACCTGAAGCCATGGCAGCTCCACCCCCAAATTTCACCAACCCATGACAGATCATATCCATCTTACTAACATTATGAAGGAAATTTCACCCATAAGAAAAATTACCAAGATGGTTGAAATAATTTGGGGAAATTTGGGCTTATGTACTACCCCCGCCAGATGACAGAGAAATGTTGGAGGAGAAGTGGGTGACACCGACGGATGAGACCATGGCAGAAGCAAGGAGGAGAGAGGCAAGAAGGGTCCCTATTTTCTTTCTTGTCCGTGCGCCGTCATCTTCTCCGAGAAGAAGACAGCCACTGCAACCTGCAACCTACAACCTGCACAAACCTCATGCTTGAGTACAAGGGGTCCTCGAAAAATTTATAGCAGTAATTTAGGATCGCTGACGGATCCTGAGACCTCCCCAGGTCCCTATGTGGATTCGCCCTTGCCCATAATAATTAACATCTGCAACATGAAAATAATTTTAACATCGACTAAAAACCGAACTCCAGCCTTTCTCTTAATTCGAGATGAGATTGTCCAAACTTTTGCTGAGTGAAATGCAATGTTAGGAGACAATAACAGTCTTACCATACTAGTAGTGGTGGTTATATGACTTGCAGAATGGAAAGGTTGATGTTCAGAGGAGTTTGATAAGAACGTTGGGTACTAAGCATTTTATTTGTTTTATATATGTACAACGGTATTTTACTCTATGAGATGTAAATTAAGCTAAGTCACACAAGTCATAATTAAGTACAGGACTCAATACAATTATTATACGTTATCTTCATGCATCCATGTGCGTTGAACTGAAACTTTTACCTACAAATAAAAAATAATACTATTAAACTCTAGTACTGGTTAGTAAAGCATCTCCTGATTTGAATTCAAAGAATAGCATGTAACAATTTGTGAATGGTTGGTTTACCTACCATCAGTGAACATTTCACACTTTCTTTTGTTGTCAACATCCAAATACCGAAACCTATAAAATTAGAAAAAAAAAAAAAACATTTTATCTATTTGTTATGGAAATTTGCTATCCAATCAATATAGAAACTAGAAAACTCATCACAATTGAATATTTTTAGTACCATCTCTTGTAACCATCACAAATGGAAATGGAAAACAAATCCTTGGAAATCACACTACGTCCTTATAGGCTCTCAGATGCTGAGGACTTCTCGAAGTATACTGGGGATGAAACGGTAACACAATTCACTCGTTGGAACACCTTCAAATCCAAGGAGGAAGTACTTTCCTACATCAATGACGTTTGTATTCCTCACCCTTATTGCAGATCCATCTGCATCAATGACTGTTCGATCGGAATGGTCTTCGTCAAGCCACAAGATGGTGATGACAAGTGTCGAGCGGAGATCGGGCATGCGTTAGCAGCCGAGTACTGGGGACAAGGCATACTAATCAGAGCTGTGAAGATGGCCATCACTGAAGGGTTTAAAGAGTTCACTGATTTGGTTAGAATGCAAGCTTTGGTTTTGATAGAGAACAAGGCCTCCCAGAGAGTCTTGGAGAAACTTGGTTTCCACATGGAAGGTCTCTTGAGGGAGTATACCATTCACAAAGGTACAGTTAAAGATGTTTTCATGTAGTCTTCTATCCACTGATCTTATGCCATGAACCTGACCATTTTATTTCTGTAAATCTGGATTTAAACCAGTTAAAAAATGCTTTTACTATATTTATTGCTAGGCAATTTATTAAGTGGGAACTTTCCTATTACATGATAGGTTTAATAATAAGTATCATTTAGTTAAAACATAAGCATGTGTTACTCTTACCATTTTTTTATTATTTTTTATTAATTTAAATTCTCTACACATGTTATGTTTTAACCGGTCAGCTGTTTTTGTCACAGTAACACATATCACTAGGTATTATCTAATAATTGACTAGTTGCAGATGGTGATGTTAGTGACCAATTTGTCTACTAGTAGTACTACTAGGCAAGTTCATTGAATCCAAATCTATTATTTGAACAGATTTTGGATCACACATAATCGTATGACTGACTACTTTATACCCCCTATTTATATATCCCAATTGAGCTTGGAACCATCTCAAACTTCCTCAAAGTTATGGAGTCCTCAAGAATTTCAATGCGTCCTTTCAGAGTCTCCGATGCTGATGACTTCTTGAAATGGGCGAGTGATGACAAAGTGACGCGCTATTTGAGATGGAACACCATAACCTCTAGGGAAGAAGCCTTGGCATACATTGAGAAGGTTGCTATACCACACCCATGGCGCCAGTCCATCTGTCTGGATGACCATTCGATTGGATATGTTTCGGTCAAGCCCGAAGCGGGCGATGACATGTGTAGAGCCCATGTTAGCTATGCCGTGTCTGCAGAATACTGGGGACAAGGGATTGCCAAACAGGCACTGAGGATGGCCATGTCTAGAGTGTTCAAAGAGTTCCCATGTTTGGTGAGGGTTGAGGCTTTGGTGGAGGTTGAGAATAAGGTTTCCCAAATGGTTTTAGAGAAAGTTGGGTTTGTGAAAGAAGGTTTGTTAAGGAAGTATGGTTATTGTAAAGGTGAGATTAGAGACATGTTTATCTACAGCTTCTTATCAGCTGACAAGATTATGTGATTCATCTGTTCAAATTTTCTTAGAACATCTCTTAATGGTTTGGTTTCTTACTTTGAGGAACACTGTGTTGCATTAAGAATCTTCCTGCATTTATTGTGATGAGTTAAACTAATAACTGAATCAAACCTCCTGAAAAAGAACAGCCAACGAACTGAATCAACCCATATTAAGTGTAGTGATAAATGACCAACCATACCCGTTTTTAGTTATATAAAAAAAAAAAAAAAAAAAAAAAAAACCCTTATGGCTCGAGTGGTTAACAATTTTCACCTTAGCACCCAAGGTCCTTTGTTCAAATCATCCATCTCTCAATATCAGTTGTAGTTGTATAATACATATCTGTTAAATCTATTATTATCATGAAATTTATATTTGGCGAGGAAATAAATGAAGTGTTAATGTAATTTTATAAGTTAAAGGAGATGCTTTGATTTCTTTCATATTGTACTTACAACTGAATGTTCTGAAATATCAACGATTATATTTTATATATGGTGATGTAATAGATACTTGCAATGGTTATATATTGCACGAAACCCGTTCCACTTAGTGAGACATAGCATTTCATTCAGACCTTAACATACGACTAATTTACTTGAGATATTAATGTATCTTTTTACAAGACTGAATATTGAAGTTATCATCCCAATTCATATGCAGCACAATACGGCCTATTATTACTGGGCTTAGATCCCCATTTAAAGAAAGGCGAGTCATATCATTTTGTTAAGCCCAACGGATGGCCGAATGTAAGTTTTCAGGATGATAACATCAATCAGATGCTAATGAAGTCCGATTCAACTGAAATTGTTGTGTCTATGATCTCCCATGTGGAGTGGTACCACTTAGGTCATCAATTATTGCCTTTCCTTTTACGATATTTGTCTTGAATCCTGATGCTGATCGATGCCCGCAACATATGCCAAGAGATTGGTTGATCCATTGCGGAAGGCCATGATAAGTGGTTTTGGTCTGACTTGGCCGGGGAAAATATGGTCCCCAACTTGCATCTGAACGACGATGCTCTAAATACGAGTTTTAATAATTATAAGTAACGTTATAGCAATACAACACAGTTACAAAGCTTGAGTTAATATACCAGTACAACACACTAATATCGTACCAAGATTGTTGGAAAAATAAGTGTAATATTGCTATAAATTCGTATCAGAAATATATGAAATAAATCATGCAAATAATGCGCTGAAATAATTGAATAACTATACAGAAACAAGGGTTAGAAGAACTTGAAAATTTGAGTCGAGATAAGCATTTAATACTCTGATACTTATACCCAATGCACGTGATAGAATTGTAGGAAAACACAACTTGATAGTATGGGATACTATATATTGCGCCCCACACCGTATTTTTGTTACAAAACAAACCCCCAAACAGCATAAAAGAAAGTAAATGCATAAGGGATTGAGATGGTCCACATCTCCTCGGAATTTCAAGGATGCCCATTGTTTAAGTCATCATAGGGTCCCTATCAATCTTTTGTCACCAAAGATGTTCTTGTTTGCCTAATAATTTCTCTCTTTTCCCTTTTCTTTTTTCAAAGGAACCAAAAACATTTGATAAAAGTAAAATCTTTTCTCCATCTTTCCTTCTTATTACAAGTTTACGCGCATCTTCCCCTTCCCCATTCTGCTTTCCTTTTTCTTTATCTACTCAATTTCTTCTTTTATTGGAATGAATTTTATCCGCACGCATTAAGCTTTATGTAGCCATCGGACACATAATTATTAAGTTGGAATCCTTCAAGGCACAAATCCGAAATTAGGTTGGAAGCTTTTAGTTCAGAATTAAGTTGGTTTTTCTTTCTTTTCATCATGAAATTAATCATCTTAATCTTTGCCAAAATGCATTACATTTTACTATTTATTTATTTATGGGTTTGTTGGGTTTAATGTTGCATCTTGGACAAGTCTACTTAATTTCAAATGCGACCTTGTAGTTGTAGATAAAAAAGGAGTGCTAAAACATATGAGTCTATCACGGGAAAAACTTGTGTATCATCGAATATTTATAAAAATACGGTGAATAATTAGTCATCATGTACGTAAATATTCCAATATTAGTTAATTATTCTATATGGAGGCTTTTCCAATAGGACACGGATGGATAAGATAAGCTAATAATACAAGTACCATTGTTAAATATGCACAAAATACGTGTATTATTCGCGAAAAATAATTAAAAGAAACTCGGGGATGATAAATTTACTTCCAAACCAAAGTTTTTAGGTAAAACTAATTTGAACCATTTCTAAATCTTAATTATGAGCCCATTAAGAGCATTTTCACCCCATCCAGTTGTAAGGAGGATTGGATAATTCAAACCACTAAAAACAACAAAATGAGCTCTAGCCTATACATATCAGTGGCTATCCAGTGGGCTCAACACCCACGGACCAAGCACTCGGGCCATTTCATCCCGCCTTAGCGCCTCAGTGCATTTAGCGTTAAGTTGACATCAGTCATGTTGTATATATTTTTTTTGACGCTAGATTCCTCCCCCTCTGATGACCCATCAATTAGGGCGATGTTCCTTCCAACTGAAGACAATCCTTCAGATGAACCAAGCTCTGGAAACTCAAATACGATGCCGGATTCCTCCCCCTCTGATGACCCATCAGACGACTCGTTGTTCTTTCCAACTGAAGACAACGAGTTGTTGGAAGATTCCTCCTACTCAACACAACGATCTTGAGCAAATCTTTACTCTCTGACGAGTCATAGATTGGGATCAAGGCGTCTCTTGGATGTGTTGGGTGACTAAAATTTATGTGGTTGGTGTGGTGTGGGAAAACAAAGGTGAGGGAGAAAAGGAGAGGCAAAGAAGACGAGGGGATAGAAAGGGGGGGGAGAGTGAGAAACTTGGGAGGTTTCTAGAGAGAGGGGACCTTTAGAAAAGAAGATACTTTTAGTATTTTTTTTATTTTTTAAATAAATTTTAATACTAATTGTCGGGGAAATTTATTATTTGGGATGGAGATGCGCTTGAACATTCACTAAGGCAATAATTGCCTTAACCAATTGATGGGGTAATTAGGCCTTAGTGGGATGGATTTTCTCTAATACGAGATGCAAAATACTATGAAATGGGCATTTTATATCTTTTCTTGCTGCAAAATTCCTCAATAGCGAAATGTAATTATCCATCTTTGTCAGAAGACGTAAATAAAACTTAAATATGTATTTATTTTTGCATCTTTTGGTGATCAACCTCACTAAGTAATTAGAGAAAATTAAATTGGATATCAAATTTACAAACCTCCTATTGGACTATTGGAGTAGAACTTTCACTTACATCTACTAGAAATATGAAATGGAATGTAAACATGATTTTTGGATCTTAAATTTTCATTTCCTCATTGAAGATGCCCTCATAATGCATGAAGCTTAGCTTGAGTGTTAATAATGCTTCCAACAATAATTATAAGAGAAGTAGAATTAAATGAAAGGATTTTTTTTTTCAATACTACATGGTATTAAATAATACGAAAATGAATAACTGGGTTTGAAAATATAAAACCTAAATTTTTTTTTCCAAATTTAACAATTAAAACAACTGTTACAGTAAATGCTACGTAACATTGAAGTCACGCTCTGCACAATGTAAGTCGGTTAATACTCAAATCTTACAACTATCGTCCAAACCCAATCTAAAATTGAAATTATGTATGTATATATATATAACCCATCTACATAGATCGTTAATTATTGATATAGTTTTTTTTCTTTTTTTCGTCAAAATCATCCATATAGATTATAGAGTCAATAGATTTCTCAAAGTCCATCAAACCCTAAGATCTACTATAACCCTTGTAGTAAAACTCAAATTTCAACTCTTGGGGCAAATATGAGTTAAAACTCAAAACTCATTTATAGGCCAAATTTAGCCTAGGATTATTCTTTGGGTTAGTGGGGTTGGTCCACCATATATGTATATTTTTTTAGTTTTATATTTATAAATTCATTGAATCCAACCGTTAAGATCTAATTTGATGAAATCCAACACTAAAATAAAAAATAAAAAAAATAAAAAAAAAAATCTTTTATGTGTTTCTTATTCTTTCATAGTATTTCACGAGTTTCATGGTGTCAGTTAGTGATTTTTCAATATTTGTCAGAATCTAAATATTTTTAGGTTAAAATGTTCATAAAGTTAAATTAGGATACTCTACATAACTTTTTCTTTTAAAAAAGTTACTTCAAGAAAAAAAATTAGTTTAAATTCATTTTTTAATAATTTGGTGCTAAAATTTTAACCCAGAAGGGTTGGAGCAAAAAATTTGTTTCTAGGTTAAAACCTAAATTTTCTGATCTAAAAATTTTAAGTTTTAACTTAAGAGTTGGAGATGGTCTAACAAGCAATTGGGTTTGATTACACAAACAACTAAGAAAAAAAGGGTGGACCAATAAGAAAGGACATGATACTTAGGCCTCGTTTGGCAGATCAGACTGTACTGACTATTTATGTCAGATAGGATAATTAGCCACCGGATAGTACTGACTAAATTAGTCGGGCGTTTGGTATAGTATCGGACTAATGATCGTATTATTTATAGTGTGTTTAGTACTATACCGGATAGAAGGAATTCAAAGTATTATTACTTTTAAGATAAAAATTGATGATTAATGGAAAAAAAAAAAAATTACACATTCACGACCACCAAATGGGTCAAATTAAAAAAAAAAGAACGAAATCTTCCTTTATTTAAATCAAACTTAAAAAAAAATTGAAAACATCTCTTTTGTTCCCCATATCTCTCCGCCGCATCCCTAAACTCCCTCCCTCTCTCTCCCTTCTTCTTCTTCCCCAACTGATTTCCAACTCTGAAGCTCTGCAATTAACACCCATAGACTTAGTTTTCCTTCACTGCAATTTCAGTCACGAACATCTTTGCAAATACACCATGTTTCTTTGCAAGACCCAGTTGCAGAAGAAGCTCAGAACTCCAAAGAAACAAAGTGAGTAACGGAGTCAAATACAACATCGTCGTTCTTGCGAGCTTTGAGAGCGCATGCGAACTTAGCAAGCGGATCGGACTTAGAGCCTTCGACGCGCGATGGCCAGGCTTTGGGGCTCTTGTAGCAGAGGAAGATGTGGCAGCTGTAGGCGTTGATGGTGACGGCAAGAACGATGATGGCTAGATGAGGTGTCGTGGAGAACGAAGTGCGAGAGAGAGGGAAGGAAACCAGACTAATAATCCACTCCTTTTGAAAAGGTTTATTATGCAGATGCATACCCTACTAAATAGGCAGACTGACTAAATTAATCTGGCGACTATTTAATATGTAAGGATACCAAACGACTGGGTCCATATTAGTATAGTCATATCTGATCTCTTATACGACCCACCAAACGAGGCCTTAGTGGAGAGGGTGGGCCCCCAATTGGTTGATTTTCCACACGTGGCATTGAAGCTGTGCCACCAACTGCTTCTACTCATTTGATTCTAGGGTTTCAGTAAAGGAATCTGTCTATATCTTCAGACCCATATGGGTAATGCATTATGCATGCAAATAAAATTAGAAACCATAAGAAAAAAATATTTTGGACTGGAAAACCAAAAATGAATCATTTTATTTTATTTTGTTTTGGTAGAAACATGCATGATTTTAGATTTTATCGTTTTTTGGTAGAAACATGCGAGACGAGGACATTATTTTTTGCTCTTTTCCAAACGAGACTTTTCCAAAGAGAAAGGGAAAGGGGGATAAAACCCTAGGAGTTGAGTTGATCGTGCGATTCCTCTGCAGATATGTACATTAATTATTGTTGTATCAGTAGTGGAGTCAGCATGAAATCATTGATTGTCGACGATCTAATAACTTAAAAAAATTCTATGTACATTTGTTTGTGTATTGTATTTGACCCTATTAACAGCTTCAGCAAACTAAACTACCTCATTCTCCTAATTCTTCTTCTATTTTTTATATCATCATGTCTTCCTTTCTCTCTTCTTGTTTGCAACTCTATTGTGCACATCAAGTACTCGATGAAATGCCTTAGTTGACAAGCATTGGCAATCTTCCACATTACTTTTCAATTTCCTGTGGTCATCTTTGACAAGTCTCGACATATGTATCATAGCAATTGTTGACATATATTGGCATAAGCCTTTAGCAGATGTTGGTAAGCTGTTAATAGTCCATTAAAGTTTTTTTGGTCGAAATCATGACCCCATTATTTGAAATTCTGGCTCCGCCATTATATCGTATACATAATGTACCCACGTAATATAATATCTCTGTCCTTTTTTCATTTCTATATGTAGAGGTCAATTATGTATTCACATTATCTTTCTTTATTTTTTTCTCTGATTAGCTTCTTGTGTCTTATCAGTAATTATCTGAACATCTCAATCGCAAATCTTTGACATTTAGTAGTAATACTAATTTCAACTGGGGCTAATCCACTGATTTAATTCCCTGCTTTGATCACTTACTCGGAAATTTTCCTGAGTGGTGTCTCATCTTCACCTTATCAAATTAACCTTTTTCCATGGAATGATATATATGGACCCCCTGCGCTAGGTGGCCCTCTATATGTCATCATTTCATGAAATTAAATCGTCCACAAAGATGCTGAGGTGAATACAAACAATAGGGGACTAGGGTCACTTCGTTGAATAATTATTACACAATCCACTCCACTCTACGGACGATCATATACATTCAGGACTCAAGAGCTAGCAGTGCACTTCTTACGTACTAATACTAATGAGTTCTATAACACCAGTACTCTATTATTACATACAAGAAAGTTTACACATATTTCTGTATGGACAATGATTGTGTTTCCCTACGAGGGGACATACTTGTCCTCTTACTAACGATTAACAAACTTTTATTGTCCGAACATTATTCATTTTCAACATGATCATTTAAAGATTACATTTTGTAGGCGTTTTCCTTCAATCCAATCGGTGGATCGAATTGATTATAGAAACATGAGTTTAATCAGTCGATTTATTAGCGAACAAGGAAAAATATTATCTAGACAAGTGAATAGATTGACCTTAAAACAACAACGATATATGCAAAACATTATTCAATTTGGAATTTTTTTTAGTCATTCATATGTATAAAACAAAATAGGTGATTCATCATGAGGATGCTACTTGTTAATAAAACTGTTGATTAGTTTAATACATATGGATGACTAAACAATCTCCAAATTGAATTATCTATTGCATGAGATGATGTTTTGATAAAGAGAATAAACATTTCCAATTATGATGTTCCAACAATAAAAGTTCGTTAATCTTAAGTGGAGAGGACAAGTAAGATCTCTTATAGGGGGACAGAAGCATTATCCTTGTTGTATTATTGACTTATTGACACAATACAACACAATAACAATATATGTGTCATATAAGTTCCTCTTTACGCACAAATATACATTGAACCTTGTTGAGTGGGACACAACAGTTCCACCATTAAACTATCTCCAACCGAAGGAGTGCTAGAGGGCTCATTTTAGCCCTCTAGCTCTCCAAAAAATTAATATCTTAATGAACAATGCATGGCCATATTTCTTACCATCTCCAACCGAGGGCCATAGGGCCAAACATAATTTATTATTTAAATTTAAAAACTACAACTTAAATTTAAAAACTACAACAACTTAAACTTAAAAACTACAAATTAAATTTAAAAACTACAATGACTTAAATTTATAGGAAAAAATTGAGAATTTTTTAATATTTTTTTTAAATTTTGGCCGAAAAAAATTCAAATTCAAATCCAATGGGTAGCTGACGATTTGAATTTTTCTTGGCTATAAATAGGGTGGATATTGGGCTATAATTCACACACCTTTGAATTCAATCTCTTTCAATTCAAGTTTACAATGGATTCCAACTTTGGATCCTCTTCGAATTCCAACTGGGGGTTCTCATCCAATTCCAAATTGGAAGAAAAATAGGCACATATAAGACAAGAAGATGAGGAGTCTGATGAAGAAAATGAAGCATGGTGCAACACACAATATGTGGCAGCCATAGCTGCGGCCATGGTGTGTCAGCCAACTAAGGAACAACCTTAATGGGGTGGCTCTGTTGCTAATCGCTCTTACAAACCACGAAACGGAGCGATGACGCATGCCAATCTGATGAACAACTACTTCAATGCCAACTCGATATACATAAAAGATGATTTCAGGCGTCGCTTCCGGATGAGACGTCATGTCTTTGAGCGTTTACTTCATGATGTCCAACATGTCAATCCATACTTTCAATAGGATTTGGACAAAGCAGGTCGCCCTGGTTTCTCACCTTATCAGAAGGTTAGAATGATGGCCTATGGTTCCCCAGCTGATTCGATGGATGAAACCCTTGGTATGTTTGAGTCTACATACCTTGATACTCTTGTTGAATTTTGTAACACAATTGTTCAGCTTTACAAAGCGAAGTACCTCCGCGAGCCAAATCAAGAAGATCTGGATCGTCTCATTCTCAAAGCTGAAGACCGTGGGTTTCCGGGCATGGTAAGGCCATTAGACTGGATGCATTGGAATTGAAAGAATTGTCCCACTAGATGGCAAAGAGGCTTTAGCGGAAGGTCGAGAAAGCCAACTATTGTGTTAGAGGCGGTTGCCTCGTATAACACATGGATTTGGCATACTTTCTTTGGAGTCCCTGGATCCCAAAATGACATTACAGTTCTTGGGCGTTCACCCCTCTTCAGTAACCTGACAGAAGGTAAATCACCTCAACTTTGGTTAATGTTAATGGCATTTTGTTTTGACTTATCACACTGTTCAACCTAAGTATTTCACGAATTTCAGAGTGAAAATCATTTCTTCTTCAATTTTTTGAACTAGAGATAGAAGGCAAGTTTATATTAAGGAAAAAAAGGATGAAAGTGGGTAAAGGGAGGGAGGAGGGAGAAATTAAGAGAATGTATGAAACAAAAACTTAAAGTTAAACAACTTAATGGTTTTACGTTTTTGTTTGTGTACCGTTAATTATTGAACAACCCTAATCTTTGAAAGAAATTAAAAAATAAAAAAAATAAAAAAATAAAAAAAACCCCTAATCAACCAATCCAATTGTATGTGATAAACATGATTTAAATGAGTGATGAGTTGATTGTTGTTTTTCACTTTCATTCTGCTTGTGAATTGATGAGATTGACTAAAAAATGTTATATCATGCAACACGCGTCGTCAAACTTTCATAAGGGGTATTTTGATTTAGGTCTTAAATTTGAACTGATATTGGATTTAGTCCAATGTTTTATTTATCTAATTTAATTAAACTTTTGGATTTATGCATCTTTATTCATATTTTTAATTTAAATATTTAAATATGAAGATCTAGCCACTTTCCTAAAAAAATAGTTAATAAAAATTTCTAAGTCATCATATATGATACCTACACCATAATTTGATTAAATACATTCAACATGTGGTAGAGATAGAATATACAGAAAAAATAAATAAAACTCAATCTAACTATCAACCGTGAAAATAGTTCAAAGACATTTAATCTTCATACATTTACAAAACTCATACTAGTCTGTGTATATTTATGTGGGTGTGTATGTGTGTGTATTTCCTACAACATTGATTATTTAACACAATGAACCTGTACATTTTTGCTCGTTTAAGGCGCACAAGGTACATCGTAAATTTATGACATGCAGACACCAAGCAGTAAAAGCCCATATCATAATTCATACCCCTCAACACACGGGGTGCAGAAAGAGTTATGAATGAGAAATAATTTAATTCTTATCTTTAATAGTAAAATTATGATAGGGAGCTTTACCAATAAATACAAAAACACAAAATACATTTCATAGAACTTCATTAGTTTTGAATCATTTCAAGGAGAGAGAAGATCCAGTAGACTTATTACTTAACCAAGACAAAACTACAAACCGACATCATCTATAAAAACTTCAAACTAATTTTAGATCGGTATAAATGAATTTTTGCAAGATCAATTTCAACATTTTATGCAATATCAGTTTCATAATTCATGCACTTCTGTAAGTTCAGTTTCAAAATTCCAACACTTCTGTAAGATCAATTTCAAATTTTTTGCACTTCGGTTTGATCAATTTCAAAATTTCAGCACTTCTGCTAGATCAGTGTCAAAGTTCCAGCACTTCTACAAGATTAATTTCACAATTCCAGCATTTATGCAAGATCAATTTCAAAATTTTCAGCAGTTATGCAAGATCAGTTTCAAAATTCATACATCCAAATCAATCAAACATTTAAAAAAAAATACAAAATAAAAAAAAAAATCTAAAATCTCAATTGTTCTAATAAAACTCATAAATCTAGTGAACAATATGAAGAAGAAAAAGAGAAGGGAGAAAGAAGGATAAAGAAGAAATAGGAGAGGCAAAGACGAAGAAGGATGAGGTGAGAGAGAAAGGTAGGAAGAAGGAGGAGATAGAGAAAGAGAATGAAAATGACGAAGAAGGAGGAGGAGAGAGAGAGAGAAAGATAGACACGGGTATGAAGGAGAAGGAAATGAGAAAAAAATGACCAAGAAGAAAAAGTAGACGAAAGAAAAATAAGAATATAGAGACTTATTTTTCAATAATAGAAAGGTAAACTTGTAAATGTAAAGATAATTATAAAAAAAAATCATGACGTCACTTGCTATTGTGTGGCTTAGCCAAACTCTTCTTCCTTATAGTGTAAAAATATCGATGTACTAAAAAAAAGTTTTGTTACTTAGTACTATAGTCTAGTGGTATTCCTCTTCACTTGTAAGTAGGCCTGACAATTTCTGATACAACCCGTTAGTCCGACACAAAACGACACAAAAGTAACAGGTTATCGGGTAACCCGATAAGCACCTGTTAAGATAACGAGTTGGTCCAGGTATACATGTGGGTAACGTAATGCACAATAAGCAAAATGTTTATTTAATCATTTTGTACCCCCACAAATACTATTATAATTATATGGCTAAAGCCAAAATAGTCTCTGAGATTTGCATAACACATCACTTTGGTCCCTGAGATTGAAAATCAATAGAAATGGTCCCTGGGATTGTCCACCATCCATCATTTTGGTTATTCCGTTAAAAATTCAGTTAAGTGTCACGGAGCTCTTGGCTGAAAGTTTGGGCAATCTTCAAAGCTTCGTAACTCAATCGTTTCTTAACCAAATTCAACCCATTATATATTAAAATGAAAATAGGAAAGTATAAAACAAGATTACACCTATTTGGAAGCCCAATGGTTGCCAAAGATGGCCAGAAAATAGCCTCAAAGTTGATTGGTCCGCGGGAAAACTGGAAAACTCGTCGAAAACTGGGTAAACTTTAAACGTTCATAACTTCTTCAATACTCAATGAAATAAAGTGACTCAAAACAAAAATCATACTTCTCGACGAGACGAAGAGAATGGTATCTTTGTCGACGGCTATGTATCAGTGGTTTGGCTAGAAAACAGCGCGAAAGTGGCTAACTCGATAATAGTTAGCCATTTTTGAGTCATTTTCTGGCCAAAATACGATGAATTAGCCGTCAAGAAAGGTACCATTCTCTTCATCTCGTCGATTAGTATGAGTTTTATTTTTAAATCACTCGATTTCATTGAGTATTGAAGAAATTATGAACATTTAAATTTTACCCAGTTTTCGGCGAGTTTTCAGTTTTCCAGCGGACCAGTCACATTTGAGGCTATTTTATGGTCATCTCTGGCAACCATTGGCCTTCCAAATAGATATAATCTTGTTCTACACTTTCATATATTCATTTTGATATATTATGGGTCAAATTTGATTAAGAAATGATTGAGTTACAAAGCTTTGAAAATTGTCCAAACTTCCAGCCAAGAGCTCCAGGACATTGACGGAGTTTTTAACGGAATGACCAAAATGATGGATGGTGGACAATCTTAGAGACCATTTCTATTGATTTTCAATCTCATGGACCAAATTGATGTGTTATGCAAATCTCAATGACCATTTTGGCTATTTAGGCTAATTATATATACAATCATGTACATATAATTATATATATATATATATATATGTATATATTAAACTAAATTTAAAAAATGGGAACTTAAACGAAAAGTTCCTGGTACTGTTTAATTTAACGAAAAACCACATTTTTACACTAAAAAGTCAATCCTGGTACTATTCACTTTACCTTTTATTTTGTCATTGCCGTTAAAACTCAAAGTTTTCAAGTCATTTTCATTAGTTTTCCTTTTAAAAGTTTGGAAAAGAAGGTAATATATTTTGATATGGTATAGTACTATTATTTTATTTATTTTCGTAATTATTTTAGTAAACTTCTCTTTTATTTAGCGTATTCTTGCACTTTTGATATTTTTATAGTAGACTATTAGTGTATTGGTGCTTTTTTATTAGGCTATTATTTTGGAGTGTAGATATAGTATTTAACGACAAATATGTTTTTATGTTTTGAAATAATATTTATATGGTAATATGGTATCTGCAAATTTAAGAAGAAAAAAAATGTTTTTCTTAACGGGTCATAACGGGTTGGGTCATTTTACCTGTTGGGTAAAGTGACCTAACCCGTTAAGATAACGGTTGTGACATGACACGACCCGTTAAGATAACATGTTTTACACAAAAACGACACGAAACACCGAAAACACGATCCGTTTGCCAGACCTACTTGTAAGTGAGAGGTCTTAGGTTCGATTTTCACCAAAGGCGAATTTGAACAACATTAATTGCTAGCCCATTATGAGGCTAAGTCCATCATCTCCCCTTAGCTTAATTGTTCCTAAATAATCCATTAAATAAGAGATGTCATTTACCACAATTTAATGAAAATAAATTTATGTGGATAATCAATGAATGGACATAACCCAACATAGTGAATAAAACATAATGAATTACAAAATTCGACTTATATTAAATTTACTCCTCTTTTCCTAGTTTGAGTGGTAAACGCACAAAAGAAAAAAAAAAACCAAGTGTCATGTGCAAAATTTTATTAAAACAACAAATTTCGTTTGATAAAAAAAAAACAATAAATTTCGTTGTTAAATATTTATAAGATATCATCCTCGTGTTTTTCATTTAAAAAAATCTAGTTGACATGTTCTGTTACTTAGAAGGCTTAAGTTTGTTTGAATAACAAGTTATCATCAGTTAATTCATGCACTGCTCATTTGAAAGATAAGAACTTCATTGTTTGATTGTATTTTATTTGTACGTACTCGTATATTCCGTAGTAATTTTTATTTATCATTTTACAATTGCCATTCAACAGAGGAAATAAGTCGACGACGTGTGCATAACCAATATGAGGATGAATTATTGTGTTAGGAAGGGGCAGCACTGGGAGAATGACTTAACTAACCATAGGCTTTTAGTGTAACCATAATAATTCATAAGGGATATAAATTATGATGGTTACACTACGTAATACCACTACTTAACCATAATAATTCATAAGGGATATGAGTGCGTGTATAATCTATGCTAAAAGTGATATTCACATTGTATGTACGTTTTCTCTCTAACCATAAGCTCTTAGTGCTTATATGGTTTTTAAGGGAAATTT